GTGCAGAGGCAGTCTGTAATCTTTACTAACAGGACATCCTCCACAAACTAACACTGATGTAAGGTGTTTACACCTTTAGTTCATGTGCTCTGGTCTGAATTAGGGACCTACTTTAGTGTTGTGGTCAAGACTAAACTGAGACCTGAGTGCTCCGAGACTGAGTCAAGACCGAGACATTTAGGGATCCAGACCGGATCAAGAACGATATATTTAGGGAGCTGAGGCGGGTTTTAAGCCTCCTGACAAACCGTTACACCGCGCCCACCTGTCAATCAGGTCAGCTACATGCCTTATTGTGAATAACTCTTATCCTTCATCAAATCAAAACTGATGAGTCATCAAAACATTCACCCCCCGTACAGTGTGTGTCCATCGAGACATGAGCTAATCACACCTATTTGGTTTTTTGAACCAGGCTGTAAACATGTTCATCTCTGCTGTAAAAACAGGCTTTTTTAGAATGGGTGTGTATGTGACTTCCTGTGCTGCTGCAGCCAGCCTCTAGTGGACACTCCAGGAACTGCAGGATTTTACACTTCAGCATTGGCTTCATTTTTCAACACCGGAGGTTGCTGCTTCGCTTCAGCATGAGCCATCAGTTCTTTGAAATGACTTGATACAAATCACTGTCACCACTCAAAGGGAAATGAACACGACTCACAGTGTCCTGCCAGAATGGCGAAGAAGCCGATGATGATGAGAGTACTGTGATTCTGCTGCTCCTCAAAGAAATCCACTGAAATGACACAAGAACATTTTTTAAACTGGACCTTTTCAAACAGCATCCGTATTTATGATGCAACACGTTTAACAACCTGTTATGAGCGTCTCTCTCGTCTGGGTGATGTTCTTCTGTTGGACTCTGCAGGTGAAGATGTTTCCTTGTTTCTTCTCGACTGCTAATGTGCTGCTGATGGTGTAGAGGCCATCAGGACCTCTGACTGTCTGTGGAGGTCCAGAAGGGAGATTCTTTCTCTCTGAGTCCAACCAGAACAGCTCAGGCTCCGGGTACCAGCCTTCAGCCTTACAGTGGAGAACCACACTTCCTCTTTTAATACTGACGACTTCAACAGAAGGCCTGGACGCAGCGCCTGACGAAAAGACAGAGACCGGGTATCTTAACTAAAAATACTCATGAATCACCTTCATTTATTTATATTCCTTACATGCACTCTGTGAGTAGTTACACACACTAAGATTTTTTCTCATAGTCCACTGTACAGCTCATGTCCCTACATTACACCTTTTGTACATTTTGTGTTTTTTATATTTTACATTTTTAAATTCTATTTTATATATTGTATTATCTTCTTATGCTGTATTATTTAAGTTGTTGCTTGTTCTGCTTTATTTCCTTGTTAATAGAGAACAAACCATATGATGTATTTTTGTAGGACAACCCAGAAGTAGCTTCGCCATGGGGTCTAACTAAGAATTCTCCTATGGGATGTTTTAATTGGATTTTGGATCATTGCAGAAAATAAGCTCTGCGGTAAACACACGTTTCTGAAGCGTAGGCGTTTTGTTCAGCAGGATAATCTTCACAGATGAACGCCATCTTTATGATGTTTGAAGCTTTAATGCAGCCGACAGAAGTAAAAAGCTAACGTTATGCTACAAGCTAACGACACCACGGTGGGATGATTGTGACGTCACTAGCGTTATGCTTCAGACGATCTCCGATAAACTAATCCACGTAGTTTAATAAATAGTTTACTAACATAATATTCACCTGAACCTAAAGATTAAACCTACAGGAGACATCTCCGACTAGTGAGAGAGTTCCCGCCCTCTGTGTCCGGCGTGATGACCTTTAATGTCCCCGACAACCACTGTAGTCACATTTAGCCGCTTGTTAGCAACCGCCTTTTTAAAGACGAGTAAAAACTTCAAACTTCACAAGTGGAGGTATTACCTAACGTAGTTTATGTGCTCTAACAAAACACCAACATCTCTTCAGCTTGTGTTAACCACAGACCTTATTTCAGGAGTCTAACCACAAACACATTCAAAATCCCCGTTGACTTTTAGACGTTAGACCCCATGGCGCTCAAATGCTAACTTACTTCCTGGTTTTAGGACTCATTCCTGTGGCGCTCTATTGTTTAGCACCAATACACCAAGACAAATTCCTTGTATGTGTAAATGTACTTGGCAATAAACCCAGATCCTGATTCTGATTCTGGGTCAGAGGTCAGACTTTACGTTTTAAGCATGATTTGAGTGATCCAGCGGACGTCGGGTTTCAGGACCCGTTAATCTTGAAAATACACGGTTTGATCTCGTGCAGCGTGTCATAGTGAACGACAATCAAAGCCACATCTGGGACACTTAACGACCCCCCCTCCGCCCCTCCATACTACACCCATGTCAGGGACATCAGAGTCCATCTTTTTTCTCAAACAGACTTACCAACAGTTAGTAGGAGCGATGCTTCCTTCTTCGTTGATTTAAGGATGCAATGATATCTTCCTGCGTCAGAGAGTCCCACTCTGTCGAGTTTCATGGCGACGTTCCCACTCGTCAGTTCTTCCACTGACAGTTGTGTGCGGTGACGATAAGACGGGTTCTGGCCGCGCTCTACCTGACGTCCATTTTCATGAAAATAGACGTACTTGGGATCCACATCGGGTTTGGTCCACAACACGGTCTCAGAACTCAGACTGACGGGAGGCTCAAGGTGACATCTCAGAGTGATGTCATCACCAAGCAGCGCAGGGATTGGTTGCTGTGAACAACTCAAGCTTGCCCGGGCTGCAAGTACAATAAAGAACAAACAAATGTGGGAAAACAGAACAGGGCTTGAAATCAACCGCCTAAAAGCTTAAAGGTCTGATCCAGCAGATGTCGCCCTTGAGCTCCAGCATGAAACCAAAACAACTGGCGCTGCATTGTTGTGTTAGCATGCTAATGCTAGTGATCTTGATTATGCTGGTATCTTCACACTGCATGTAAATTTACCTGAAATGAGCGTGATCTAGAAACACAGTTAAGCAGTGAGTACAGTATGTTATTCTTCTTTTCTCTAGTCCCTCAATTAAACTACTTTTATACACGAGGGGAGGAGTCAGCCGGCCACCCTGGCGATGTAAACAAACTGAAGATAGGACTCTGAAAACTCTGAAAACATCACAGACAGTGGGACTCGGGTGTTACACCCATTGTAGACAGTCATGACTCACAGAGTTATTTTCAGAGGAGATACTTGATTTCTACATTTAAGTGTGAAACATCACATATGAAGACTTTAAGGAAACAACATGGAGGAGTTCTGTTTGGTGTTTGTTGGGCTGACTGGCTGCTTTGTAGCTGAAGGCTGCTGTGTGAACTAGCAGCTCACTCTGTGGGGGTTTCGTTTCTGGGGCGGACCGAATATGGAAGGTGGTCTGGTAGCTGCCACAGGATTTAAGGAGTACTGTCGAGGTGCCCATGAGCAAGGCCCCCGACCCCCCAACAGCCCTGGGGCGCTCCGTGCGTAGCCTCACTCTGACATCAGCTCCTGTTTGTGTGTGAGTGTGTTTCTGACCTTTACAGTGAGAAGCATGTCTCTTAATCACAGAGGGTAAACCAGAAGGGATTAATAAAGTGTCTAAAAGTGAAAAAGAAACTTTGCATTGTTGCTCTGAACTTTCTGACACACTCCGATTGTATTTGTAGGTTTTTTTTATGAAGACGTTACCTCGACCAGACGTCAGAGGAGGAACAAACAGAAGGAGAAGCTGCAGGAACTTCACAGCAGGATCAGTCGGGCGCTCCATCTTCACTGAGCTCTGTCATTGGACATCACATCCTCGACCCTGAAACGCACAGACGAGAAGAGTTCTCACAAACCACAGCGCTCACATGTCTGCAGCGTGAGGGGGGGACGTTACCGCTTATGATTCTGACGCTTCAGAAAGATGAAAAACACAAATCAACAGCATCAGGAGTTCTCCAGAAAACTCAGATCTCCTAAAGGACATTACACATGAAGTACCTGATGATGAACACAAACTTCTGTCACGTCTGTTACTTTCACCTTTGTAAGCGCCATTTTTGCAGTAATAAGTTTGATTATTATTGTTTGGATTATGATTTGCTGGAGTAAAGCAGATAATATGTTTGTGTTTATCTTAGGAATATTTACTGAGATTACTCCTATTTTATTTTGAAGGTTGTTGTTGTTGTGATTCTGTAAGACTTCCGTAGTCATGTGATCAGGAGACAGGAAGTAAAGTGTATTGTTATGTGTTACGCTGTCAAAGTGTCTACCGTGTGAAGACAACTCAACGTGTAAAACAGCGTAATGTCGTCACTATAGAGTGGATAAGAAAGAACTCAGTTTAAGAACCACTACAACCTTCCCCAAGAAAACAAACTGAAGCGAACATTTCTACAGTTCAAAGATTTCATTAAACACTTTGAAGAAGGAAACTTTGGAGCAGTGTAAAACCTTAAACAGAATCAAATCATGACACAGATCAGTGTCAGACTAAAAGACTCTGAAGAGCTCTGAGGAAAATCTGCGAACAGGAAACGATTCCCACGCATCATGAAGTGAAACGTTGCCATGGAAACAAAGTCTCACCTGATGTTCGAAGAATGTTAAGAAAGCAATGAGACCCACTTCAGCTTCTTAAACTTCCTTCTTCATGTTTCAGTGTTCAGTAAACTCCGGACGACAGTTCGAAGTCTCCGCTCTGTTTCTGTACTTTCACTTTCGATGTTTCAAAATAAAAGCCCAAAGTTTGACCACAGCGAATAAAATAAAAGCACGACTGAACAATAAAAAAGTTTAAAGTAATAATAATAATAACTTTATTTATATATCATTTATTTAAACAAGGTTTTAAGGTTCACTTTGTTTCAGTACATTTGATCTTTCAGGGTTTGATAAATTAGAAAGATAATGACTGTGCACGAGGAGGAGCTGTACATATGTGCACGAGGACTCCGGTACAATAGGTGGAGGTATGCACCTGTAAATTGGGATTGCACTCTGCCTAATTAAGCACAAAGAAGAAGAATGACGCGCTCCACAGTCTGCTCAGGTGAGCCAGGTGTGTCCCAGCTGCTCGTGGGTGCAGGCGCGCGACAGGAACGTTTCCTGTGTTTGGATTTTATTTCTTTTCTGAGCAGAGAGAAGAAGATCGAAGTGGTTTCCTGTGGGTGATGTCTCCTCGTGCTCTGATTGGAGCTGCTCTGCTGCTCTGTTTCACAGGTGTGTGAGAAAGTTCTTTAAATTATTGTTGTTCTTTAAAATGTTTAACTTGAATTCAAATGAATGAACCGGTTAAAGACGGTTTAACGTTTAAATTAACAACGAGTCGCTGACTGAGAGTGACACTGTGTCGACAGAGGTCAAAGGTCAGACAGTTTACTCCCTCGTCTTCTGCCTGTCAGACTCTGAACAGCTGTTTATGACTGTTCTTCAAGTTAAACATGAAAAAGAAGTTTTAAAGTCGACCTGATACTGTGTGTGTGTGTGTGTGTGTGTGTGTGTGTGTGTGTGTGTGTGTGTGTGTGTGTGTGTGTGTGTGTGTGTGTGTGTGTGTGTGTGTGTGTGTGTGTGTGTGTGTGTGTGTGTGTGTGTGTGTGTGTGTGTGTGTGTGTGTGTGTGTGCGCCTCACAGCAGCGATGCTCGTCATTTGCACATTTTGCGTCCCCTTGCGCAAAATGGGGCCCCCCATGGATCGTGGGGCCCTATGCACAGCGCGTGTTCTGCGTGTAGGGAGAGGCGGCGGTCAGTTGGTGACTCAAGATTCATCCTCAGAATGTTTCTGAGTACTGAGTCATGTATCCGTCCTTTGGTCTGTCACGCTGGAACATTCCTCTGCAGATGAAAACTCTCACCACTTTCATCTAATTGCACGTTGGCGTCTTTTGTTTATGTTGGAAATTGAAGGTGACGCTGAAGGGGAGTGTCCATTCCACGATGTCGGAGTAAAGCCTGACTAGAACCCGTGTTAAAATGTCCACATAGACACATTTACAGCCTGATGCCATTTGAGACATTGTTTCCAATATGACGTCACCTTCACTGCTGTACAGGTGAAACCAGTTTGTGCAGAGAGAGTTTAATTACAGAGCAGTTAAAGGACTGAGGGCGGAGACGGAATTAAAACCCTTTAGTACAATGGAAGCTCACATGAGACACTGTGGCTTTTATATTTAGACATGATGACGACATTACTCAAAGGAGCAGTATGTAACTCTGACACCTAGTGTTTAAAATGGATACTGCAGTCTGAATTCTAAACATAGAGAGCTGTCTCCCCCCCCCCCTCTGTAGAGTTGATGCTCACTCAGGTCACCATGTGGTGGACTCTGAAGCTTCAGTGTTTATCCAGCTCTGCATGGGTCTGTAAACCTTTCTGTGTTCTAACCTCTCTCCATTTTTCAAAAGCATCTCCAATATTGATCCTAGTTTGAGCACGTTTCTGCTCGTGGAGCTTATTAGAAACATGCAGAGGCTTTTTAGGTCGGGTACAATCACTTCTATCTGAACCACTTCTCTTGACCGCTTCCATCACTGCAACACCTGTTGACCTGATAACTGCTCTCATATCTGACAAACCGAGGGGCGTCCAAAACGGCCGTGTGAGGGGTCGTCTTAAAAGCGCCTACCTTCTCTGGTCCAAACAAATCCAGAGCATTCAGGAGCAGAATCTAAAGTTAGAAGGAGGACATACTGGCTGCTGCATTGTTGCCAGAGAAGCCAGCACTTCAACATAGCATGTTTCCTTAATGATCAGAGAGTAAGATACCTTTATCATCTCACTCTCTACACAGCTCACTGATTGGACCTTGAGTTGTAATTTCTTTTCCACTTTTTATGACATTTACTTTAATGAGTGTGGACTCCATTTTTCTGAAAAGTCCCAACAGCTGACAGTAACAGAGTGTCTGATTCCTCTGATTGGTTCTCATGTGGTGTAGGAGGGTCCTCAGTTGGTGTTCTGTCACAGACGGTCCAGGCTCTGGCAGGCGGGGATGTCATCCTGCCCTGCAGTTTCAACACCAACGGCGGCAAGGACTTTCCAACAACGGTGGAGTGGTCCAAAGAGGGCCTGCATCCAAACGTCATCTTCCTGTACAGGGATCGCTGTGAGACTCATGAGATGAAGAATCCCGCCTTCGAGTACAGAACGAGCCTCGTGACGAGAGAACTGAAGAACGGAAACATCTCTTTGAGGATCTCTAACGTGCAGCTGTCCGATGCAGGGACGTATCGGTGCATGAAGATGTGGAGGAACGCCCCGCGGGACATCACAACACTGGAGCTACTCGTCGGTACGTCCAGTTTATATATGTTTAAAGTGAAGCTTACACCTCCATGTGTGATGAGGCGTGGTCACCTGATAGCGCTGCGCTCGCCAACACACGTTTGGACCTACAAATTAATTAACCCTCAGACATCAGATACATTTACTGCCCTCTTAAGTCACTAAGGACAAAAATGTCCACTTCCAAAAAACTGTTATAAAAATAGAACAGATTGATATTTTTTTCTACTTTTTTCTGCATAAATCTCTTAAACAACTCCAGCCCTGCTCAAAACTATCAGAGATGTCATAAACATGGTTCTCAGTGTTCTATTGATTTATTAAAAAAACGAAAATGTTCATTCCAAAATGTGTCAAGAGAGACTTTCTTATAAAAATGTGTTCCATATGCACTAACAGACAAAATGATGACCAGATGAAGAGGAGACTTTTGACCAAATGGACTAAAATGTCCTTAATGATGCATGAGGGTTACAGAAAATATTGGAACACAAAATGAATTCCAATTAGGAATTAGAATCCCGTTTCCTCCTCTGAAACTCTTGACCTTTTTGTCACTTTTCCAACCTGCTCGGGCGTGGTGCGGTACTTTTTAAATGGTTAGCGATTAAGCTAATTGCACGCTCACATTGTGGATCATCTGAGGTCATACTTTTTAAAAATCAAACTTGACATTTGTTAAACTGATGATTTGATGTGAGAGAGCACAGATCTTTTTCCACGCATCCTCACAGCCTGAGGTTCAGTTGTTTCTGAGGGACGGACGGCGGTAACGTCTCGCCTTCTTGTTCCTGCAGGGGCGGTTTCTGAGCCAAGACTCTCCTTCACATCAGCTGAGAGCGGAGGCGTGGCTCTTCAGTGTGAAGCCAACTGCTGGCATCCTGTACCTGACATCACCTTTCTGGATCATCAGGGAAATGAAATCTCTGCTGCTGATGAACAGAGAAAAGTTCAAGATGGCCGAGGATGTTCCACAGTGACACGACGATTGACTCTCCAGGAAGCGACCAAAAGGTTTCCATGTGTCTTCTACTCGAGGAGTCAGCAGTAACAAGTTAACCAGATTCATTAAGAGCTCAAAATGATTCCTTCAATCACATTTAAACGTGCAGTGTGTAAACTCCACCACCAGGGGGCTCTTAATCAAAACAATAATTAATAAAGATGGCGTCAAGGCTGGCGGGGAATCATGGGAGTGATTCTCTCTGCTTGCGTAGTCTCAGTGATGTAAAAGAAGGACACTGCTGCATCTCTGAATGTCTCATTTCACTTTATCAAACTCTCACACAGTAATATCCACCTGATGACATCACACACTGACCTGATGACATCACACACTGACCTTATGACATCACACACTGACCTTATGACATCACACACTGACCTTATGACATCACACACTGACCTGATGACATCACACACCGACCTTATGACATCACACACTGACCTTATGACATTACACACTGACCTTATGACATCACGCATTGACCTTATGACCTCACTTTGGGATCCCTGACCACTTCCTGTTTCTGTGCTTAACGTCATGTCCTAACTTTCCATCTACAGGAAGGGCCTTACATTATTTCAAAATAAAAGCACACAGGAAGTAAAGTACTCTCAGCTTAAGAAAGACATTCCAAATATAAAAGCCTAACTGATTTTATTTTGAAATGCTAAATAATGGAATTAAAACACGCGATTAAAAATGTGATTAACTGATGAAATTTGGTGATTAATTCTGATTTAAAATGTTGATTGTTGACCGCTCTGACTGTAACGAGTTGTGTTGAGTTTTACGCTGAGTCGACACTTTGACTTCATAAACATCGTGTTTCCTGTCTACGGTCACAGCGTTGACCTGACAGGTTTTTAATGATAAGAAGCACAAAGAAAGCAAACACATATCTTCACTTTTCATCACCACAGGGTCGCCTGCAGAGTAGACCAGCCCAACACCAAACAGACCAGAACCACAGAGACCCTCATACCAGGTGAGCTGCTGCTTCATTCTGACCTGTGTGATGACACTGCGCTCTCTGAGTCCCTTATCGTCTTTAACCCTCTGTGCTCTGGTACAGCTCACAGATCATCTCTTATTAACATCTGATTGGTGCAGAGCTGGATTCTTAACGAGTCATACACAGAAACAGGAAACAGAAACGTGCAGCTTCCTGGAGACAGATTGGACGGACTTGTCTCCTGATAATAAACAAGATGGTTGACTGTTTTTTTGTCCTTTCAGACGGCTGCATGAGATCATGTTTTCAAACCGCTGGCATCGCCGCCGGAGGGACCCTTTGTCTTCTGTTGACTCTGTGTGGATTGGCTTTCTTCTTCTGGAAGAGGCGGGGCAAATCTGGTAGGTCACAAACACTGAGAGATGTCAGTGTGTAAAGTCCACCACTAGGGGGCTCTCGATCGAAACAAGATAATGTCGAGGCCAGCGGGGAATCATGGGAGTGATTCCCACTGCTACTCCCCACCTGCCCGTAGTCATGACAACCGGGTGAAACCGACCTGAGGAAGAGAATATGTTTACAGTCGAGCTAAAGTATCTGAGTATAATCTCCATGACGTTTTTATCACAGCAGTAGGGGCCGGTCTCCAGACCACTTTTTTTCAAGGTCCCAGTCCTGTCTCGGGCTCAGACTCCGGATTTTAAATCCAGACCCAGGCTTTAAGGAACGGCTCACGCCTCCTTACGCAGCGACCTCTGACGTAACATTCGGTGTTTCCACGGCAACGATAAACATGCCGTGTCCCGTTACAACTATAAAAGTATGTATTTTTCCGGCTTTGATAACTGTTGGAAATATTTGAGGTAATGTAAGAACTCAACAAATAAATATACAAATAATTTAGGATTAGTCATTTTTTTAATTATTTTAATGATTTTAATGTAAAACATGTTTCACCTCTAAAACAGACTCAGTGCTGTATGGAGTTCGATGTGTTGCAGTTGCATTGAAGCACCAGTAGATGGCAGAGCATGTTCACTTAGGGAGGGAACAGTCAACAGGTTGAATCTGGTTTTAAGATTTGAACATCCCTCCTTCACGTGTTGTTTTGTTCTCTGCAGGTGGATTCAGAGTGAGCAGGCAGTCTTCAAATGAAAGTGCAGCTCGGGGTTCCTTTGAGAACCAGTCGTTCCTGCAGGCCGTCACCGTTGACAACATGGACAATCTGTCCCGAGAGGTGGCTGACCTCAAGCAGAAACTTCAGGACACCATCCGCCAGCTGGAGGTCGTCTCGGGGGCTCCGCTCATTTCTTCTTTTGGCGGCCTAACAGCAAGCGGCGCTCCAGAGCCGACCCCCAGAGAACACCGCATCGTCAGCAACCCCGAGGTGTTGAACATCACTGCGTCCCTTCCTCCTTCAGCCGACACCTCGAAGAAGAATAGGTACAGCTTGGACAGTCAGTTGATGAGTTCATCTTCAGCTCAGTACGCTCCGGACGCTTCCAGCCACAGGCGTCGACACTCCTCAGTGCTTCCACGTGCTTTCAAACTCCACTCGGGTCTCCAAGAAGAGTCCCAGCCCTTCATGTGATGAGAGCGCCCCAGCAGAGCTCGCTGCTTTATGAACATGTTGTTTTACCCGATGAGTCAAAATAAGATTCAGTATTCCAGCCTGAAGATACGTAGACCCTCACACAGACTTAATTTATTGATTCATATTAATTGTACTTTTTAATTCTTTGTATTTATTGTGAACTCAGGAATTAAACGTTTGTGTCTTTTTACAGCGGTGTGAGTGTTTGTGTCCTCCTTTGATCGTCACACAGAAACAATCGTAAAGACCTCTAAGACTTTAAACTCGATCAAGAGTCAAATTATTCAAATGTCAGCCATGTTTGTAGTTCTTCAGTTCTCTATTTGCACGTTTTATGGAGCTCAAAGAGTGTCTCAAACCTTTAAAGGAGCAGTATGTAACTCTGACACCTAGTGTTTAAAATGGGTACTGCAGTCTAAATTCTAAACATCATAGAGAGCTGTCTCCCCCCCCCCTCCTCTCTAGAGTCCATGCTCACTCAGGTCACCATGTGGTGGACTCTGAAGCTTCAGTGTTTATCCAGCTCTGCATGGGTCTGTAAACCTTTCTGTGTTCTAACCTCTCTCCATTTTTCAAAAGCATCTCCAATATTGATCCTAGTTTGAGCACGTTTCTGCTCGTGGAGCTTATTAGAAACATGCAGAGGCTTTTTAGGTCGGGTACAATCACTTCTATCTGAACCACTTCTCTTGACCGCTTCCATCACTGCAACACCTGTTGACCTGATAACTGCTCTCATATCTGGCAAACCGAGGGGCGTCCAAAACGGCTGTGTAGGGGGAGGGGCTTAAAACCGTCTACCTTCTCTGGTCCAAACAAATCCAGAGCATTCAGGACCAGAATCTAAAGTTAGTAGGAGGACTTTGATCAAGAGACATCCATATCAGATAGCGCCCTCTACTGGCGAAAATAAATATTGAAATATATTTTTTAGTGTAATCGATTTTTTTGTTGTTGTTTTGTCTCGTTATGTGAGCAAAGAAATTCAAAACAAACAAAAGGAAGTTCATAAATTCCACTGATTAGACTTTAGGTGGAATTTTATGCAACTTCATTTTTTCCCCCCCAAAAAAAAGAAATCTGAAGAAATGTTTGAGACGGTGGAGTGTGTGAGGGGGGGGAGTTCTTTCAGAGAGGAAGTGCAGATATCTGAGTGCGGCTGTGTCAGTCGCTCAGTCGCCTACAGGACAGGATGCAGCTCACACCGGTCTGCCTCATGCTCTGTGAGTTTGTTTCCTCTATAATCTTCATCTCATCCTCTCTGCATCGATACCTTTAGATTTGTTTTTCTGCTGGTCATTTCTTTTGTTTCTATTTCACACTTTTCTTCTTTTATTTGATTTGAATGCTTCTTGTCAACATTAGTTTATTTATTTGATCTCTTCACTTTTTGCAGTCATTTTCTCTCCTCTCTCGTCTTTAACTATTCTTCATCTTTCACTCCTCTGTCTTGTATTTTTTTACTCTCACTCCTCGTCTTAACTTCGTCCTCCTCCTCTCAGCCTGTCTGCGGGTCAGCCCCGACAGGTCCCAGTTCTCCAGGTACGACTCCATCTCTCTGAGCTGTGAGGACCTGTTGAACTCCACGGCTTGGAAAGTGAAGAGGAACACGTCGAGGAGCGGAGTCACCACCTGCACCTTCGGCTGGGGCTCCAACCCAGCCGGCTCCACCTGCTTCATCGGAAACATCTACCCGTCTGACAGCGGGACGTACTGGTGTGAGTCTGACAGCGGGGAGAGGAGCAACACGGTGAACATCACCATCACAGGTACACAGTTTTTTTGTTTTTTTTACCACCTCCACTGTTAAACTGTGTTCAGACCCCATGATAACACTTCCTGTCTGATGCGTCAGTAAATGAAACTTAAGTCTTTTTTTTAACCCTCATGCATCATTATGGACATTTCTGTCCATTTGGTCAAAAGTCTCCTCTTCATCTGGTCATCATTTTGTCTGTTAGTGCATATGGAACACATTTTTATAAGAAAGTCTCTCTTGACACATTTTGGAATGCACATTTTTTTTTTTTTAATAGATCAATAGAACACTGAAACATGTTTACTACCCTTTGAAGTCACTCAGGACAAAAATGTCCACTTCCAAAAAACTGATATAAAAATAGAACAAATTGATATTTTTTTCTTCTTTTTTCTGCATAAATCTCTTAAACAACTTCAGCCCTGCTCAAAACTACCAAACATTCAATCATTTTTAGGAATTTAACCCTTTAAATGCCAGTTTGATTACTTGATGTCACTGTTGTTATTTAAGAAAAAAACACAAAAATTAGTTATCTTCCATAAAACAAATATTTGGTGGCTGGGGGATTTTTTAAAAATCAGTCTTGGATATGTCAAAGATTATCCAAAATATTGACTTAGATGCATTGTTAGTTTTTGAGTAGCATCAGATTTAAAATGTAGTTCCCTGTTTGGACATTGGAGGGCGAAAATGTCCAATTTACAAAAACTGATATAAAAATAGAACAGATTCATGTTTTGTCTACTTTTTTCTGCACAAATCTCTTAAACAACTCCAGCCCTGCTCAGAACTATCAAATATTAAATAATTATCAGGTAATTAACCATTTAAATGCCAGAATCATGTAATCAAACTGGCATTTAAAGGGTTAAATTCTTGATAATTACTCAATGTTTGATATTTTTGATTGTGTGAAAACAGTTTGTTTAATGTCTGGATGAACTTTCAGCTGCTTGAGGCCGATCAGTTTCCCGACCCGTGAGCTGGGATCAGAACCAGGAGATCTGCTAGAGTTCAGTTTTTAGTTTACGATCATTCCTGAAAAGTTTGCCAATGCTCCTGAACATTTCTCCCAAGAAGCTGTCCGTTTCCCCTCTAAAAGTTTTCCATTGCTCCCTAAAAATCAATTTGTGTCGCCTTGAAAAGTTTTCCATTTCAAAGTTGCCAGTCTTTCCCTTAAAGTTTTCTTCTGTCCCTGAAGTTTGATATTTTCCCCCCTGAAAAGTTAGCATTAGCTCCCTAAAAGTTGGCAGTTTTTCCTCCAAAGTTTCCCTCTGTTCCTAAATTTCTCAGGTTTCCAACGCTCCCGAAAAATTTCACCATTTCCCCCCAAAAAGTTCCCAGTCACTCCCTCAAAGTTTAACCTTTAACCCTCGAAAGTTATCCACTGTCCCTAAAGTTTGCCACCCTACCCCCCCCCGAAGTTTCAGTCACTCTCTAAAAGTTGGAAGTTTCCAACGCTCCTGACCGTCGGCCGTCTCTCTCAAGAAGTTTTCCCTCCATATTCAAAAAGTCGTCAGTCGCTCCCGCAACGTCGACCGTTTCTTTACAAAGATGGCCGACGCTCCTGAAGTCTCAGAGAGTTTGCTTTCACTCCCCATACCGCCATCACATGACAAGATGTTTAATTCTCTCTGCTAAAGAGCGCCCCGTGATCCTGATAAGCCCCGCCCTCCCCGTACCGGAGGGGGCCGGCGTGACTCTGGGATGCAGACACGAGGCCGACGCCTCCGTCCAAAGGTTCCATTTCTACAAAGATGGCCGCTCCATCGGCAGTAGCAGCTCCACGGGGGAGTTCACCCGTCTCAGTGTTTCCAAATCGGACGAAGGACTCTACACGTGCGGCGTCCCCAGAGGCGGAGAATCAGTCGGCAGCTGGCTCGCTGTTGAAGGTGAGGATGAAGATATCGAGGTCATCACGTGCGGCGAGCTGATTTCATGTCTTTATTGATTCACATTTGTCTTTCCAGCTCCTCCTCCTCCTCCTCCTCCTCCTCTTCCATCTTCGTCTCCATCTCCAGCTCTCCCTGCATTGCCGTGTCCGCTGTCCGTCTCCAGGTTACTCTGTCACCTGATGGCGGGTGCTCCTTACCTGTTGTCCACCATCTTACTGGGACTGATCGTCAGAGACAGGAAGAGAGGTGAGGACGCTTTCACACGTGTCCTAGAGCGAGGAGTTATGTTATGTTACATCATCACTCTTTGCCCCCGTTTCCGTCTGACCTCCTTCTGATTCGTTCCAGAGAGTTAACATATAGTTGAATCTCGCTCGGAGGCCTCTGATTGGCCGACGCCACGATGTGACCCCATTTAAAACCGATGATTAACAAGAACTGAAAGTCTGACTTCCTGTGGAGCAGAGCCGCTCACGTTGAGGTTTTTCTTCGTTTACAGCAGCTCGGACGGATGCAGAGAGAGGAGGCGGCGATGACGTCGTCATGGAAACGGTTGCCTAATTCTACAAACTGATGGAGAAAGGAAATCTACGTCTGACTCTGACCCTGTGTTCACCGGAGCGACCTGCAGCTTCTGATGGCACACTGAATATGTAGACGATGTGCTCTGTGACCTTTGACCTGGTGCTGGTTTTAAGGTTTGTCGGCCCTCGGGGGGGGCCCCTTTACTGTTCCTGGGGGCCCCCCAGCGGTTGCCTCTGCTTTGATGCCATGTGTAATTCAGTTGTTCCAGATTATAGCCACGCTGAATCGATGTGCTCGAGTTTCTGTAACCAGAGAACAAAGTAAAAATACTTTTTATAAAAACAAAAAGAAATCACTTTGTGAACGTTTGTTGCTTCAGAAACGTCTGCAATCAGCCGGGGGAGTTTGGGGGAAAGAGTTTGTTTTTTTTCACGTTCAGCCTGTCACTTACTTCCTCTGAGTTACATCCAGGTGGTCAACACGAGGAACGCTTCACCTGCAGAGCTCCACCTGGACCACTTCTTAAAGTCTTTATATGTATGTCCTCTGAAAATAACTCTGTGAGTCATGACTGTCTACAATGGGTGTAACACCCGAGTCCCACTGTCTGTGATGTTTTCAGAGTTTTCAGAGTCCTATCTTCACTTTGTTTACATTGCCGGGACGGCCGGCTGACTCCTCCCCTCGTGTATAAAAGTTGTTTAATTGAGGGACTAGAGAAAAGAAGAATAACATACTGTACTCACTGCTTAACTGTGTTTCTAGATCACGCTCATTTCAGGTAAATTTACATGCAGTGTGAAGATACCAGCATAATAAAGATCGCTAGCATTAGCATGCTAACACAACAATGCAGCGCAAGTTGTTTTGGTTTCATGCTGGTGCTCAAGGGCGACATCTGCTGGATCAAAACATCGCATACAAAGCCTTTAGAGAGGACTCTTGTGGTCTTGTGTAATCTGGTTCTTCCTGTCTGATTGTTGAGCTGTTTGGTTCTGTTTCCTGTGTTTCTATATCTGTATTTCTCTCAGGTCATAAATACTTTCCTCACTCGTCCCTACATGAATAAACACATTAAGATGATTTGTTTGGACTTCAGATCCATTCGAGGTTCTAACCTGGCAGAGAACGTGGACTCAGTTGTTGTGTAAGAACAGGGCTGAGGGTGAACAGGAAGTAGAAAGGCGCAGACACACGTTACACAAGGTGTGTTTGTTGTGGTCGTTAGTTTGCACGCCATCGTGTGAGGCGTGAAGCCCGTTTACCTCCGTACAGAGATGAACTCTTTCCATTTAGGAGCCAAAGTGAACCCTTCAGAGACGTTTTCTCACAGCTGATAGTTGAAAGGTCACCGGGGTTGTAGCGGCCGCAACATGTTGTTTGACCTCACCTGAACTCTGAATATAAATTTTCACGATCGAGTCACAGCTTTACCCCCCCATGCTGCCTCTGATGCATCACGTCCGCTCCACTCTCTATCCTCGTGTTTCTCTGACCGGACGTTTTTTTTGTAATCTCTCTGAAGCACAAAGCGGACGAGCTCAGCGTGGCGTTGACTCTGATTTTAATCAGCCGGGTCCGCTGCGGCGAGCTGATGAACTTTAAAAACAAGGCGAGGAAACAAAGGCGAGGACGTCGTGCTGCTTTCAAAAACCACGAGCAGGTCATGACACATTTTGAGCAGAGTTACTGTCTCTAATGTTCCTGCAGGAATTTAGACTCCTTTATAGAAAGCAGTAGAGCCCCCTGCTGGTCAGTAGGAAGAATGCAGCTTTAAGACACCTTCACAAGGACTTCAGGATTTCCTGAGGCCTGCAGGGATCAAAAGGCCGACACATACCCGAGACCAGAGCGCTCAGACACCGAGACCAAGACGATCAGTGGTGGTCTTGATTTAAAATCCAGAGTCCGCCCCATCTGAGACCGTGTGAAAATTAGAAGAGAAGGTCGGCCTTCTGTTGAAGAGACGTAACAAACCTGTTTTTAATATTTTCTGATTGGAAAGCTTCCCCCACTCACATCACATCCCTGTAGGAGAGGGTTTCGGACGCCTTCATGACCCCGTCTTCTGATTGGCTCGTTCTTAAAGTCCCTCCAGCTGACGCTAAAGGTCAGAGCCCTTCCGTCTCTCGCTGAGTTCAGGATTTAATGATCAACCAGAGACTGAAGTCAAGTTTTTATTTCACCGTTTAGAAAAGCATAATTATACAAAGTCTTTTAGTCTTTAAGGCGATTAGTCTCAGGTCCACGTCAGGAACATTCAGGGGACAGTTTAAAATCAAATATATTTCATCAGCTCAGCGTTCAGTTCAGTGCTTTACAGAAAATAAAAACCACTAGAGTCAAATCCACGACATTAAAGTCCTGTGAAAAGCAAATAAAAATAATAAAATAAAATGTATGTGAATATATAAAAGTCAAACAGATAACTCGAGTTAAAAGAGTTCATGTGAAACAGTTCTTAAAGTACAAACTTGATTTCACTTTGAAAATGTTCAGTGCTGAAATGGACCCCGGGATCGTTCTGGATCCATGTGGGTCTGACGTGTTCACATCCTGAATAATGCTCGTTGATGTTTCCATCTTCTGAGCGCTTCAAACCGTCCGTGTGTCGTGACGTTCAGTCCTTTGTGTCCTCCGCAGTTTAGGCAAGGCAAGTTCATTTATATAACAACAAGGCGATTCAAAGTGCTTCACACAAGACATCAAAAGCATCATGACAGAGGAAAAAAGGAAACATTCAAATAGAAAAATCACTGAAATTATTCAATCTGAAAATATGTTCAAATAAAAATAATTCAAATGAAATGAATTTAAATAAATAAAGTCTAAATATAAAAAGAGTTAAAAGTTACAGTTCAGAGTTAAAGTTTAAAATCTTATTAAAGCTGTTTAATGAAAAGCTGTAAACAGGTGAGTCTTCAACCTGGATTAAAAGAGCTGAGAGTTTCAGCAGACCTGCAGTTTTCTGGGAGTTTGTTCCAGATTTTAGTCAGCAGGTTTTGTTCCGCTGTGTGATTCTGAAAGGGTTTAAAGAGGACCGTCCTCGGCCCGGTCTTTCTGGTTTGAAGGATCGTCTGGATCGCCCGTGGGACATCTTAAATCTTCGTCATTCGGTTGCTCGATGTTTACCATCTCAATTCTCTCCTCTCCTCTTGCTCCTGTGTCGTTTGGGTTGTTTTCCTGGTTTCTGTGGAGAGAGAACGAGAGAAGAGTTTATGAAATACCCCCCCAAAGAAGTCAGTCGTACTTTCAGTTCGGCTCCGTCAGTAATCCTGTGAATAAGATTCTCTTTATTTCTTTGAATGATTTTAAAAGTGACTTCTTCTTCGTCACGATCATCCGTCTCATCAGAAAGCTCCTGAGATCCAGAGACCGATCAAATGAAGTGTGAAGCTTTGACTTTCAAAAGAAAAAAAATCAAAGCTTGACTTACTTTTACATTTCCACCATATAAATATGCCTACAGCAACGACAACAACGACAGCAACGACACCAACAACGACACCGATGAGATCCTGGAGGAAACAGGAGGGAGAAGAAGTTCAGGTTTGTTGTTCACTGTTTGGACTCTTTCATTTCTAACATTTCATTCTTAACAGCCTCTTTTGATATCAGAACAATAATCTCTGAGCGAGCATCACACACTCCCTCACCTGTCAGGTCACTTCCTGTTTGAGGATGGCGCTCTATCTGTTTTTTAGCTCTAGCAGAACCGTTTGTCTCTGTCCTGATCTTCAGGGCCCGGCTGATCAAAAGGGTTTTTATACAGATAAAAAGGATCCAGATTTGGTAACCCACTTTTCTTTTCTACTGAGGGTCAGCTAATCCAGCTCCCGTTAGACCCGGTTGTTAAAAGAAAAACCAGATTAGATCAACCTGGTCCCTGTTCTGACTGAGACTACAGGGAGACACTGAGGAGGACTTTCTACGGTGAGCCTTAAGGGACAAAAATATCACCAGATTAACTCTCGTATACTCACCGTCTTCTGGTCTGGCTCTGTTGGTGGGTTTGTCATCTGTTGGAAAATAAAATATGATATAATAACAAACTTGTTATCTTTTTATCACTAATCACCACGTGGTTCTCCTGTGATGTGTGTACAGCTGCTCATGGCTGTTCTCACGTACCCAGTGGGGCAGAGCGCTAGACGTCCAACAAAGCAAAACAGTGGCGCTGACTAAACACAGTGCGCACGGAGTATGTGGAATTGGGCAGTTCCTGCAGGGGGCGCTGGAGTCCCATCGATGGCGGTCTCCATGCTGGAAATGCTGTCTCAGTCTAACTTTCAGTCAACCTAACGACAGGCTGAGAGCTGGAGCTGAGGCGGGTTTTAAACCTCCTGACAAACCGTTACACCGCGCCCACCTGTCAATCAGGTCAGCTACACGCCTTATTGTGAATAACTCTTATCCTTCATCAAATCAAAACAGATGAGTCATCAAAACATTCACCCCCCGTACAGTGTGTGTCCATCCAGACATGAGCTAATCACACCTATTTGGTTTTTTGAACCAGGCTGTAAACATGTTCATCTCTGCTGTAAAAACAGGCTTTTTAGAATGGGTGTGTATGTGACTTCCTGTGTTTCTGCAGCAAGCCTCTAGTGGACACTCCAGGAACTGCAGGATTTTAACACTTTAGCATCGGCTTTAGCATGACCTCTGTCGACAAACAATGGAAACATAAATGAAAGGAACTAAAGACATTTACTCACCACACCTTCCTCAGACTTTTACTCTCCCTCCTCGCCACACCTGTTCAAACATGGCGTGTTGTCGTAAATGTGTCATTATAGGCTAAACGTTACATTCATGTGATGTTGAAGTAGGTAAGCTGTACTCACAGAGATAAATGGAGCGTTTTTCTGGTGGGGCATGGTTTATTACAGTGCAGGTGTAATTTCCAGAATCCTGTTCAGTTACGTTGTTGAGTTGTAGTGAAACGTTTCCTGCAGCCATTTCATCTTTAAACATGGACGTTCTACCTGTGAAGTTCTTGTCCTGATTCAAAAAATAATCTTTACTTCTGTAAGTGTGAACATACTCTCCGTTGCGTTTCCATGACACCATTAGTTTAGATATGTCCAACAGGGTCCGGAGGTGGACGGGGAGAACAACAGTGTCCCCGACTGCGGCACAAATTAAGCATCCTGCAGAAACAAGACATTACATTTAAACTTCCCATCACAACATCAAGACACTTGTGGAGCGCTGTGTCAAAATACAAAATACTGTAAATATGAACAGACGCCACCTGAGTGACGTCATCGTCTGTTCCTGCAGGGGGCTCGGAGGCTCAGAGGCAGCAGCCACCATGTTGGAAATGCTGTCTCAGTCTAACTTTCAGTCACGACAGGCTGAGGGTGCGGTCACACTGGCCATCCGTACCGTGCCCAAGCACGCTTCAACCCTAAAGTCCAGTCTCTCTCTCTCTCTCTCTCTGTCTCTCTCTCTCTCTCTCTCTCTGTCTCTCTCTCTCTCTCTCTCTCTCTCTCTCTCTCTCTCTCTCTCTCTCTCTCCTGATACATTATTGGTCAACACTACATGGACTACAAACCAATAGAAATGGAAACCAGAACACTTTCCACACCTTCGTCAGACTTGGACACAGCTGCCGTATCTTTTAAGAAACTGGCAGAATACTCTGGTGTATGAAGTCGTTCTTCTTTGTTGGAGCAGTGAAGTGTCACGGGTAAGGCTGGGCTCTCCAAGATCACATCCCTGTCTGAAAAAAAAGTCAAAGTCCAATTTAAGAAAAACCAAACAGACAAAAAAAACGAGTACTTACCCATACTTGGTATATTTGGTATTACCTGCCACTGTGATGTTGATGACGTTGCTGCACTCCCCGTCCTCCGACTCACACCAGTATGCTCCGGTGTCAGATTCGTCGGTGTACCGAGTGGAGCAGGAGGAATTACCCAGGATGCCCCAGGACTCACACGGCTCAGAGCGGCTGAAGGAAGTGTTTCTTTTCACTGTCCAGCTGCTGGTGTTGGCCGCCACCTCACACTTCATGGAGAAGCCATCAAACTGGAAGAACTGCAATCTGTCAGGAGTGACTCTCAGCGTGGCTGCAGAAAGTCAGGATGAGTCGAGTCAATCACCTGTGTCCTGCATTGTTGTGTTAGCATGCTAATGTTAGCGCTCTTTAGTTAGCACGTAGCTTCACATTGTTGTGTTAGCATGCTAATGTTAGCACTCTTTAGTTAGCTCATAGCTTCACATTGTTGTGTTAGCATGCTAATGTTAGCGCTCTTTAGTTAGCTCGTAGCTTCACATTTCATGTAAACTGACACAGAATGAGCGTGATCTAAAAACTCTTACTAACATCCAAATAATCAGTGAGTATGTTCTTCTTCTTCTCTCTAGTTCTTGACTAAAACAGCTTTTATACACAAGGGGAGGAGCCGGCCGTCCCGTCCATGTAAACACGGCTCTGACAACAACACAGCCAGCGGGACTCGAGCTTCTCCCTCATTGTAGACAGTCAGGACTCAGAGACACATTTACACAGGACAGACTTTAGGATTTATTTATGAGGAACATGTCACACCTTTAAATCTTTTGTTTTATTGGCTCTTGTGTTAAGATAATCTGAAGCAGTGGTCTTTACCCTTTGGATGCAGTATGAAGGAACCCTTTGCCAGTGGTTTAATGGTTAACTTTTGTTGCTGTTCATGGTACTTTTTCTGTCCATTTCAAGGCACAGTTTTTAAGGTCCTATTAAATGTCACTTTAAAGGCTTTATATGTGATTTTTTGATCCAGCAGATGTCGCCCTTGAGGTCCAGCATCTGGACTGCTGTTTGGCCACGCCTCTTCCAGAGACACACCTCCAACCCTCCTCCCTTCACATTTGCAAAAAGAAGTTTAGCGCAAGCAGTGTCCCTTTTTCCATTCTCTTTGGAAAAACACCTGTAGCTTAGAGCAGACTTCTCTGGCTGGAGGAGTGCTACTGGTGCACTGACTTATGCAGGTCTAAAGTGTGATGTGTGCACAAACACACACACACACACATAAATATCCATTATTTACGTCTTCTATCTTCACCATCATATGTACTTTATAACACAAGACATTCACAACATTAGCTTATGTTTTTAATAACACAAAAGGAAGCTTTATACTCAGAGTAAAAATGTAATGTCCTTATAAAAGTGCATGCAAACTCCTGCAGAGTCCATCAACTACAAAATGACATGAAGTGACCATGTTTTTCAGTTAGGTCATAAGTTTCACCTGATGATGTGAATTAGAGCCCGACCAATTTATCATCCAGCCGATAATATCAGCCGATATCATCTTATCCAGTTACTATCGGTATCAGCTAATTTTATCTCAGATACGTCCAGATACTTATTATTTATTCACCAGTCAAAGAGCATTTCATGTGAGTATCATTGAATTACACTAGCAGTTCTCTTTCACCAGCAGAGGGCGCTGTATGGATTACAACAAGCATCATCACTCTCCAGAGTGTCAAGTGGTGATGCTTGTAGATGTGCAGTTATTTTCCAGTCATCTTGTCTTCCATTTATATTGTTTCCTCCAGTGTTGCATAACTGCATTTGAGGGATAAAAAAAAAAGAGTGTAAATCCATATCTATCTATCTCTAAAGAACGAACATAGATCAAAGAAAGATATCGGCCGATTTATCGGTATCAGATTTTTTTCTGGTATCGGCCAAAAAGGGCACATATCAGTCGGGCCCCTAATATATACCACCTGTCATTTGAATGAACTATAATGAAAACACGATCAATATTAGTCTAGGGAACAAAATAATCATGAAGCAACTCCTTTTCAGAAAGCTTCAGTGGATTTTGAAGTCAGGCAATCTGATTCCTTCGCACGACATACATGCACAGTTAAGTGTTTGATGACTTCATTTGAGAGATCAACTCAATAAATGTGTTTATCATATACGGATCTATGAAAGATATCGGCCTATAAATCGGTAGCAGATTTTTTCCTTTTCCCAATATCGACATCAGTATCGGCCCCAAAATCTCATATCGGTCATGCCCTATGTATAAAATGTACTGTAGGAGTCATTTTGTGTTTATCGTTGGCATGTTGTATAGATTCGATTCAATTTATCTGAGCATATTATTTTCCACTAGTGACACTGAATGCACAGAGGCGTGTATATATAGTAGCACATGTGACAGGAAAGGGAAGGCACAGGTAGGGGGAGCACAGACAGTTCTCACCAGACCAATACTCAGACAAACTACAATCCATTCATTCTACTGGCTACGCTTCACTGGAAATGTTATGTTTGTTGTTCTCATATCTCCATCAAGTCACTTCAATAAACCTTCAACTCAACTTTAATAATGGCTGGAAAATCATTGTTTGCATCTGCGTAAGACTTCACCCCTACCTGAGTATTAATGGCAATAAATGGAGCAAAGGAAAAAATTAGAAAATTGCCATTACATGTACAATTGAAAGTACTAACAAAAGACAATCCGCTACATTGATATGTAAAGTTTTTTGGTTCTAGGGGCGTCCCTGGCCACTCCTCTGGACGCGCCCCTGGCTCAGAGGTTTAATTATACAGTCGATGTTCTTTTTCACATTAATCATGTTGATCACATCGCTGCAGGTGAAAGTCTTATTGTTGGACTTTACTACCATGGAAACACGGATAGCAACATGTTTGTAGTTCTTGTTTGTCCGGTTTCTTGTCTCAACACGTCTTTGAATAATAATAACTCTCACCTGAACTCTCAGCTGAACTCTCACCTGAACTCTCACCTGAACTCTCACCTGAACTCTCACCTGAACTCTCACCTGAACTCTCAGCTGAACTCTCACCTGAACTCTCACCTGAACTCTCAGCTGAACACTCAGCTGAACTCTCAGCTGAACTCGGAGGAGCCACACGGAGGAGATTAAGCACATAAACAGCCAAAAGCTTTAAGAACATCATCGTCTCTGGATTCAAAACAGGACTTTTCAGTAAATGATCTCACTTATTAATAATGATTTAAAGAGAGAAATCAATGAAGGCGCGGCTCAGGTGTTCGTGGGCAGACTAATCCCTCACGGTGAACTGAAGATAGTACTTTCGATTTCGGCCGTTATCACCTTTATCTGATGACGACATGGGAAAGACCAAATATAGAAACAGGTGTTTCAGTGTTTGTTATTCTACTCAGCTTATTCTGTCAGCTCCTTTGTGATTGAGCTCTCTCTTGGTTTTGCTCTCTCCACAGGAAGCTCACGTGTTGTGATACAGGACGAAGTAAAACTTTTATAAACGAGAGTATTGTTGTAATGCTCGGAGCACCCGAAGGCTTAATTTAAACGCTCCTCCTTTCTGTCTGATCAAATCTACAGAAGAAGAAGAAATCCCTCTGTTACAGAGACATGCTGCACACACACACACACACACACACACTGATGGAGAGATGTTGTGCATATCCATGCTGCTCAGGATTGAACCGGTAAACCCCTGGTTCCCTACAGACTGAGCTGCCGTCGCCCCTTTTACAAACCTTGGAAAGAGGGCTGTTGGGGGTTCTGTTTCTTGCTCAAGGGCACCTCGACAGAACTCAGGAAGTGAACTGGCACCTCTCCAGCTACCAGACCAACTTCCAGACTTGGTCCACACTGGACTTTATAAACTTTTGCCAAAGATTCAGAAATCTTTGATCCAAACCATCAGGACTAACGAGAACACTCAGGCTGGATAATAATGAAAGTGATGTGTATAAAATCCTTAAAATAGAAGTTTGCACACGACTGCAACGATGTCGGTGTCACTAATATAATATCACTAATGCTGTTTAGTGTGTTTCTAATGATCGGCCTGTTAGTGCGTGCGGCTGTGTCCAACCTGAAACGTTTTAACCACGTCTACATTTCAATAGAATCTGAAGGTATGAGGATGTGTTGGTTTGGACAGGTATCACTGTCTCTCTTGAAGTTGTGTAATCAGCCTCTTTTGAGGAAGTTGAAAATCTTTTGATTTGATTGAAAACTGATTTTCTGCCTCGTGCACGCTCCTGTTGGTGCGTGCGTTTTCATAATGTGTTAGCCTTATGACAGATCTGTGACTCTCGTCTGTTTAGTTTCACATAAATCTTCATTATTTCCTGTCTGGTCAGGATGTGGTCGACTTCTAGATGAGAACAACTAAAAAAAAAAAAACACAAGATGGAGATGGCATCACTCTGCCTGATGCTCGGTAAGTTATTTATCATTTTGATCATTTAACATGCTTCCTGCTCTCCTTTTTTCTGCTCTATAAATCAAGCTAACCTTTCCTCAAAGCTACTCCATGAATCAACAGCAGAGCAGTGTGACACCCGGAGTCCTTGATGATCCAAGTGGAGACACAGCAGGGTTTCATCTTACTCTCCTGTTAACCTAAACTAACAACTTCAGAGAGGTTGTGGGAAATTATTTCAAGTCTGTTTTGGGAGGATTGAGGGCTGGATGGATGTGTCAAAAACACAAACAGGTTTCCTCCAAGAGTCCCGTGTTAAATAGAAATAAGTCTTTGTTTTCAGACACAGATTTAACTTTGCTGCGATGTCTCTAACTCTAAACAGATTGTGGTCGTTTCTAACAGCCTAAAACTTTTTTGAAAGGAAGCGAGCAGATGCTAAAGTTCTATAAAGCACCATCCAACTGTTGCTAAAGACGACCATTACAGCGGCTTCAGAGATGTTTAAAAAAGCTGTGAAATACCTTAAAGTCTTTATATGTGATTTTTCACACTTAAATGTAGAAATCAAGTATATCCTCTGAAAATAACTCTGTGAGTCATGACTGTCTACAATGGGTGTAACACCCGAGTCCCACTGTCTGTGATGTTTTCAGAGTTTTCAGAGTCCTATCTTCACTTTGTTTACATCGCCTGGACGGCCGGCTGACTCCTCCCCTCGTGTATAAAAGTTGTTTAATTGAGGGACTAGAGAAAAGAAGAATAACATACTGTACTCACTGCTTAACTGTGTTTCTAGATCACGCTCATTTCAGGTAAATTTACATGCAGTGTGAAGATACCAGCATAATAAAGATCGCTAGCATTAGCATGCTAACACAACAATGCAGCGCCAGTTGTTTTGGTTTCATGCACGAGAGTCACTCCTGACAGATTGCAGCTCTTCCAGTTTGAAGGCTTCTCCATGAAGTGTGAGGTGGTGGCCAACACCAGCAGCTGGACAGTGAAAAGAAACACTTCCTTCAGCAGCTCTGAGCCGTGTGCATCCTGGGGCATCCTGGGTAAGTCCTCCTGCTCCACTCGGTACACCGACGAATCTGACACCGGAGCATACTGGTGTGAGTCGGAGGACGGGGAGTGCAGCAACGTCATCAACATCACAGTGGCAGGTAATACCAAATATACCAAGTATGGGTAAGTACTCGTTTTTTTTGTCTGTTTGGTTTTTCTTAAATTGGACTTTGACTTTTTTTTCAGACAGGGATGTGATCTTGGAGAGCCCAGCCTTACCCGTGACAAAGGGAGGTAACATGCTCCCACAAGGAAAAACGTCTTCTTACATCTACATCAGATTTTTCTGCCAGTTTCTTCAAGGATAATGTTTTCATCGGTACTGAGGCTGAAGGAAAGATGTTCCTGCCAGCGGTGTCCATGTCTGACGAAGGCTTCTACAAGTGTAAACACCCAATGAAAGGAGAGTCCCTGCAGAGCTGGCTGGCAGTGAGAGGTGACTTGAAATTCTACCATTTGTACGTAAACTGCGTTTTAGGTCACTGAAAACGCTGCTCGCCAATAGTTTCTGAGATTGGCTCAGTGCAGTCCCTCGTTCAGCTTTTATCCATTTACCCACGTCTCAAACTTCAGTACATCCTCGAGATTTGGTTTAGCTTCTGTGTGATGTTCTGATGGTGTTTTTTCTTCCTCACAGCTCGACCTGCTGATCCCCATCCTACAACTCATCCCCATCCTCCTCTCATATCTCTGCCCAAGCTGGTGTGCAGCATCCTGCTGTTCGTCCTCTACACCATCATACTCTCAGTGTGTATATACAAGTACCGACTGAAGGCTCGAGGTAACAACATACTGATACCTGTGTTGATATTTCTTTGTTGGCCTCCTGACTGTATAAAAGAAGTAGACATAGCCAACGTGATGTCACTCTTTGGTTGGTCAACAGTGAGCAATTTTCCACTGAGTATGGCCACCGCTGGCTCAAGACGTTCAAGATTCCTTTTTTTCACCAACATCATTTGTGAGGATGTTGATTAAACATCCATGTTTAGACCAAACTGAACTTTGAAACCTGCTTCTGTCACAAGAGGGTTAGGGTCATCCCACATTCACACTCAATTTAAACTTAAATGACTGCTCAACACTGAAATTTTAACATAGGGCTCTATGGGGACTGATTCACTGCAGGAGACAGACTCTAGTGGTCACTGGAGGAACTGCAGCTGTAAAACCAGTGTTATTGTGATCACATCATACTTAATGAGAATTGAGATGAAAGTGTGATACTTTCAGAAATTCTGTTTAAGAGACAAAAAAAAACGGTCATTAGTGAGAAACTTGTTCCACGTTTATCATCTGACAAAAAACTCCCGAGCTGAGCAGACGTGCAAGATCACTTTGGTGGTATAGACCTCAACACTGTGATACCACACAACACATAGGTAAAGAGCAAAAATGACAGGCCAGAGCCTGCGGCTAATAAAGTGAGCTGGTCGTCACGGCAACAACATTCCCAGCAACAGTGGCAGAAAGCAGGAAGTGAAGCTGAAGAGTGTCGACCAACAAAACCTGCCTTTAACCAGAGATTTAACCCTTTAATTACTCTTTATAAAGACAGGTTCTTCTCTGTTTTTTTCTTCCCACAGCTCGAGCTGATTCAGCTTCTGATCGTTTCAGACTGGAATGAAGACGAAGAGCAACTCCGGCTGAAATCACCACAAACACCAAAATATTTTAAAATCTTTATTCATCTTTGTTTTCTTATAACCTACATGTCACTCTTGTTTCACCGTGTTAAAAAAGAACAGAATATCAAACAGTCATGAGTTTCATACTTACATCATATCATACTCTCATGTATGTTTAAAATCTTAATTTTCACTTCTATTAAATTCAAAATACGTACAAATATGAAGACGTTGGTTTTTATTTTTAGATTGTTTTAATGTAAGGAAACTCAAAGAATTCAGTCAATCTGGTCATTTTAGAGTTAATATGTTTGCAGATTTGAGAGAAATCGTCGGCCATCTTTATCTTCAGTTCTTATTTCTTTGTGAATGAGAAGTGAGTCTAACATTGAGATCGCCCTGTGAGGATAAACTTGGAGAAATATTCACACAGACTTCCAATGAACCAATCAAACACGTTGCATAACTTTCTTGCGCCAGCTAGTGGGCATTTGTTCTCAAGCATTTGGACAAAGATGACTTGACTCAGATTCTTTCATCACTGTTTTTAGTGTCTTTAGATCTGTATGGGTTCTTTTTTTTAAAGAGTTTTTCAGCATTTGAAGCCTTAATAGAGTTCACCCAGGTGTACTTTCTATTTTTCTTTTTTATAGATTTCAACAGTTAAACATGTCACTTTTTATTAATAATATTTTACACTTGAAGCTTTCTTCACAATGTCAGTGTTCGGCCACTAGGTGTCAGCGTTGACTTGTCCAAAGAGCTCCAAGCTCTTGAACTATCGTCTATCCCTTCTGTGTTCATGTGTGAATTTCCCTATGTCTACCTGCTGTGTGTTTTCTCTCGTTTGCCGGTTGTTGGACTTTTGGTGGACATTTTTGTTGAACTGTCCATAAAGTAAGCTTTTAATGTTTTCCCTTTTAGTCTTTAGTTAAAATGAGTCATTTTTGTTTTCCACATATTTTCCTTCTTTCTGTACAAATGACACAACATGACAGTCTTTCAGCTGTTGTCAGACAGGGAACTACGTAACTTGGCCAATCAGTTGCGGAGTATTTGTAGTTCGACATCAGAGTTTGAAAGGCTTAAAGAGAGGTGTGCAGTCATCCTCGAAATTATTTTTCTTGCTATATTTACCAAGATTTTACCCAAAGGGAGGTACAAACAAATAAAGGTAGAGGACCTAAAATTGAGCCCTGTGGGACGCCATAACCAATTGGAAATGGTGTAGAAGCACCAATGCTCACTGAGAAGTTTCTCCCACTGTGATTCATGCTTTAAGACAAAACATGTAAAACTACCTGATATTGAAGCCTTTAACGGTCCTCAGAACTCTAATGTTGTTGTTGGGACTGGTGATAAACCATGCAGCATGCTTACTTTAAAGTTCACAAGGAAATGGTTAATGTGAAACAGGGACAGCTGGAGGAAACTGGACTCCCTGGGGTAAACCCACAGAAACATGCAAATAAGTCACTACAGTATCTGTTACTTTCATATCTTTGGGACTTAAAGGCTAAAATTCCCCATCTTAACCCTCTTACCTGAACACATTAATATGCTAATGTTTATGCTAAACAGGGGGCCACTTGAGGAAAATTCAGAGGATCAGCAAAGTCAGGGAGATTGACAGCTTTTAGAAAGAGCTTTTAAAAGACTTTATTTCATTTTGTGGCACATCTTAAATAAAGGTGAGCGAGGGAACATAGCCAGTATGTTTTTTTAAACCTCTGCTAGATGGATAAAGAATGTTATTTGGAAAAGTTTGTGGTGAGACGATAAGACATTCTGATGCCTCTGAAAGTGCAACGGGCCAGAGTCAATATGCTTTGAAGCTTCATCTTGTGATTGGAATATCTCAGGAACACTTGGAGGGAACAGCGCCAAATTCAGCAAAAATATTAATTTGGACTCAGTTATGAAATTAGTAGAATTTGGTGGTCGACGGTCAAAGTTTAAGATCAAAGGATCAAAAATCCCTCCACCCATGAAAGGAATATTCAAAGATGAACCAAAACTTCTGCTTTATTTATTTATTTATTTTACACATTCAAGACAAACTTGCCATCCAACGTGAATAAGTGGACAGTCTTCCCTCGCTCTGTATCCCTCGTACCGGTTTATAACAGCATCAAGAGAAGCTTCCTGATAATTAAATGTTCTGAGAGATGACCTCTGTCTCTCCTGGAAACCAAGACGGTTGAACCTCTTGTTTAATGTTGGCCTCCGCCTCCGCCGTTTTTTCATATTGAGAGTTCTGTACTGTGTTCTTTAAACATTTGTAACATGTATGTAACAGTTTTGCTCTCATTGAGTGGGAAACTCTGACGCATGTAAACTACAGCTTGATTGCTGAGGGAACAGCTGTGGTGTGATAATTCCAGTGAAACTCATCGAGGTTTCCTGTGGGCGTGAGTTGAGCGAGGAAATCCCTGCTGGATGACGTCAGTCAAACCGAGCGAAAAGTGGAAGTCAATGTTTGACACACATAGAAACTCTCTGCCAAAAATAGTTCACAAATATGCGAGGCAAAGAATTTACTACGCGCATATATCAATGAAGTCAAACATTTACGGTGTAGTAAAAGGCTGCACCCTTTTCACGTCTATAAATACTGGATCATGTGAGGACATGTCTAATAAAAGACGTCACTCAGGGCGTCAAACCCTCAATAAAAACCGGACTCTGCAATTCTGACCTCTTCTTTATCTGTCAGGGTTTGTTGTTAGTTTTCTTTTTCGCAGTTGCACGGCTGCAAAGAGCCTCTGAAACACTATTTTACAGAGTAGAAAGTATAATAAGATAACGTCAACATTAAACCAAACTCTGACACGTTTTCTCATGAAGCGTTGACCAAAGATTGTCAAATTCTACATGACCATGCCCTGACATGAAGCTATTTTAAACTGTTCAAAACGCTGTGTGATTAAACGTCTCTGTGGTCATCTCCATCAGAATGTCACTGTACACATGTGTGGAGGTGCTGAGGTTTCGTGTCAGGCGTCTCCGGGTCTGACCGTCGAGTAGAAGGTCGGCACGGCATCCAAATCTGTTGAGGAACGGCAGACGGGAATATTAATACGACAGAATACCACAGAGGGGGTCACCGTTACCATGACGATATCACTCTAACAGAAACTACCAGACACCAAAGTGAGACCTCAGAACAAAGAGGAAGTTTGGTGTTTTTGGTTTTTTATAGAAAGTCACATGAGCTGTCATTTTATGCAAACTCAACAACCAGGAGCCTTCTTGTTGTGAGGCGCTTTGGGTGCCGGTGGGCTAGTGGTTAGTTTGCATCCTCATGTGCAGAGATGCTGTAGTCCTCAAAGCTGGCGGCACAGGTTTGGATCTGTCCTGTGGATCTTTTCCCGCATGACATCCCCCATTCTCTCTCTCTCTCTCTGTCTCTGTCTCTCTCTCTCTCTCTCTCTCTCTCTCTCTCTCTCTTTCTCTCTCTCTCTGTCTCTCTCACTCTCTCTCTCTCTCTCTCTCTCTCTGTCTCTGTCTCTCTCTGTCTCTGTCTCTCTCTCTCTCTCTCTCTCTCTCTCTCTCTCTCTCTCTCTCTCTCTGTCTCTGTCTCTCTCTCTCTCTCTTTCTCTCTCTCTCTCTCTCTCTTTCTCTCTCTCTCTGTCTCTCTCTCTCTCTCTCTCTACCAGATTTCTGACTCTATCCACCGATCTGTCTCTTCAATAAAGGCAAAAAAAGACCACAAATAAATCTATAAATATACATATATATCTCAAACAGAGCCAGCAGAGACTTAACGAGTCCACCAGCTTCAGTCAGAGAGAGAGCACTAACTGCATATAAAACATGTAAATAAATAAATACAGGTGTGTTTAGGCTGTGTTTGTTTGACCTACTTGTGTATCCCTGCTTTTTATATTCCCATGTCGACCAAAGTAAAAATAGAAACTGACTCTGTTTAAATATTTACTATGTGACTCATTTCCAGTGCTGCTATGGCTTCAGGCCAACTGTTGTTGTTTAACTGTCACCATGGAGACGGTTTCCAGTGTCTTCCAGCTGGACCAATAGGAGCTGGAGGAGATGACAACAAAGCCACATGGCAGTCATCACGTGATGGAAACAGTGACTGGGTTTGTACCCTGAGGTGGAGAGGTGAGGGTTTTTTTTACAGGTTTTATCTGTAAAGTCTGCTCTCTGCTTAGTTTTTAAATTGAAGATTATTGTTTAAAAATCTGAGACTTGATCTCTTGTTTCTTCCCCCCTCTGTTGTTAAAGCAAAGGAGTTACATAATGATGTATTTCTGGTTTGCTTTATTTGATGTTGATTTTGATTCGATGGAACCTTTTTATTATTTACCTGTGATCCTGTTTGGTTGGACTCCCGGTGTGATGGTTACATCGGTGTACGAGACGTCAGGGTCGACTATTTCTGCAACACAACACTTAAACATTACACACAAGCAGCAACATGTCCACAGGTACTAAAGGGACGTTTATTTAAACTGTAATTAAAACGGAAAACCTGCAGAAATAACTTCTGAAGAGGCCAGCTGTTTCTATCATAAACTGTAAATATGAATGTTTGAAGCATGAGTGACGTCCCCCGTCTGTCCCTGCAGGGGGCGCTGGAGTCCCATCGATGGCGGTCTCCATGTTGGAAATGCTGTCTCAGTCTAACTTTCAGTCAACCTAATGACAGGCTGAGAGCTGGAGCTGAGGCGGGTTTTAAACCTCCTGACAAACCGTTACACCGCGCCCACCTGTCAATCAGGTCAGCTACACGCCTTATTGTGAATAACTCTTATCCTTCATCAAATCTAAACTGATGAGTCATCAAAACATTCACCCCCCGTACAGTGTGTGTCCATCCAGACATGAGCTAATCACACCTATTTGGTTTTTTGAACCAGGCTGTAAACATGTTCATCTCTGCTGTAAAAACAGGCTTTTTAGAATGGGTGTGTATGTGACTTCCTGTGCTTCTGCAGCCAGCCTCTAGTGGACACTCCAGGAACTGCAGGATTTTATACTTCAGCATCGACTTCATGTTTCAACACTGGAGGTTACTGCTTGGTCATGACTCTTTTGGGGTGGCCATTCAGATTTCAAAGAGGGGCCATGCCACCCTTTTGGACACGCCCCTGGAGACAGTTCATCTCCTTTCAGGAAACTTGACATCAATGTGCTCGACCTTATTGGCAGATTTTAATTCACTTATTACTCAGGCTTTGTTTTGGGGTTTAATTCCTTGAAATAAGATGATTATCTGGACTGTTCAGGTGGGTGTGGCTTAAAATAAGTGCATTAGATAGTTTGAAAATAAAAACAGACAAATACACTTTCTTAGATTTGAGTTTTTGCAATGTGCTAAAATAAATCCCCGCGCTAAGCTAAACTTGGAATGGAAATGAACGCTTGACGAGGGTTACTCCCCCCACACAATAAACCTCGGGCTGCTCCATTTACGATGAATAGTAAGAATCCACAGACGTCAAAGTATGTTTATTTAGCTTTAACAATAGAAGTCAGTGAAAACACTCCCAGTTCTCACGAACCTCCTGACGTGGAGACATGAACCCTTTCTTCAAACAAAAAAGACGTAACCACTAAAGTAAGAAATAGAACGCTTGACTGCATCCTTTGATATTCCTCAGCAGAATCTACTCGACTGGATAAGCTAGTGAGCAGAGCACAAGTTAAGTTTCATTCAACACTTTTTTTTCAAGTTCAAACAGGAACTTTCACCTTCAACGCACTCGATGTGCGACCTTCACAGATATACTGCAAACACAGCAAGAAAGGAAATGTCATATGTCGAATTCAAAGGCTGACCTTTACGTCTTCTCCAGAGGCAGAAGAGCGTCGCAAAAATCACCGCAATCAGCACAAGGCACACGAGCACGACAGGAAGTAGAATGCATGCGCCAGGAGAATCGGGCTCCTCTGAACGTCCCCCTTGAAAAGAAACCACAGGTTGACCTGAAAAAACAATCACCCTCTACAAGCTGGGCGGCTTTGTCTCCTGTTAAAAATGTCACAGGGATTTATGCAGACAATATGATCATATTTACTTCAAACAACCTCAAGTGATGTTTCTTTGAGGTTCAAAGGTGCACTGTTAATAATATGTTTTCGTATTTTAAAGACCAAAAATATTACTGCATTTTTATTTTAAAGATCCAATCAGTGAGCTGTGTAGAGAGTGAGATGATAAAGGTATCTTACTATCTGATCATTAAGGAAACATGCTATGTTGAAGTGCTGGCTTCTCTGACAACAATGCAGCAGCCAGTATGTCCTCCTTCTAACTTTAGATTCTGATCCTGAATGCTCTGGATTTGTTTGGACCAGAGAAGGTAGGTGCTTTTAAGGCGACCCCCCCCCCAGGCACGGCCGTTTTGGATGCCCCTCGGTTTGCCAGATATGAGAGCAGTTATCAGGTCAACAGGTGTTGCAGTGATGGAAGCGGTCAAGAGAAGTGGTTCAGATAGAAGTGATTGTACCCGACCTAAAAAGCCTCTGCATGTTTCTAATAAGCTCCACGAGCAGAAACGTGCTCAAACTAGGATCAATATTGGAGATGCTTTTGAAAAATGGAGAGAGGTTAGAACACAGAAAGGTTTACAGACCCATGCAGAGCTGGATAAACACTGAAGCTTCAGAGTCCACCACATGGTGACCTGAGTGAGCATCCACTCTAGAGAGGAGGGGGGGCGGGGGGGGACAGCTCTCTATGATGTTTAGAATTTAGACTGCAGTACCCATTTTAAACACTAGGTGTCAGAGTTACATACTGCAATTGAGCTAATTAGCAACACGCTTGCTAATGGACAGTTAGCTTGCGATTTCATCTTGAATTAATCTGAACTAACAAAATTACATTTGACAATTGGACCAAATTACCACGTGATAACCATTTCCATTATGTGCATTTAAATACTTGATATTGATGATGGATTGGGTTGGATTGGGTTGGACGTACACATTGTGACGTCTGATTGTGAACTATTGTTTGGAGCCTTGATTTTGCTGTTTTGGCCAACTCCCCTTTGGTTTTCAGGAGCCATGAGAGACGATGGTGAAAGGGGGGGTAAGGACAGTCTATGGTTATACCTAACTTTAGTAGATCATAACTATTGACTGTATAAAACAAAACCTGTGACACAGAGTGCTAGTTTAGCAGAGGCATACATGATACACAGATAGAAGCCCATACATCAGAGCTAAAGATCCCCTAACCCTGAAAAAGTGACTTTGTGTTAATTCCCATTTCGCAGAGTAAGAAGCAGCTTTCATGGACTATTTGACTGAACTTACCTCGGACAGTCAGCCAGCTGTCCAGGGATTGTCCGACTCCAGGGATGTTGCACTTGTAGAGTCCTTCATTGGACTTGGAAACACCACGGATGGTCATGTTTCCCGTGGAGCTGCTCCTGATGAAGAGGCCATTTTTGTAGAATTCAGCGGTGATATTGGAGGAATCAGTCATGTCGAAATCAGAAGAATCAGAGGAGGAAGTGTTCCTGTTTGTACAGCGCAGAGTCACATCGCCCCCCTCCATCACAGGAAGAGCAGGACTCTCCAGGATCACAGAACCACCTGAAGGACAGATCATGGTTAAGTGAAACCTGTCCACAAATCTTTGAATGTCTTGAAGTAGTCGTTTGAACTCACGGTAAACAGTGATGTTGACAGTGTCGCTGCACTCTCCTGCTGCAGACTCACACCAGTACACGCCGCTGTCGAATGGGTAGAGATCATTGGAGAAGCACTCCGATTCATTTTTTCCATCCCATACTTTGGAACAGCCTTCATTTGTGTTCTTGGATGTGTTCCTCTTGACCGTCCAACCAGTAGAACCTCCCAGCTGCTCACAGCTCAGACTGACGGACTCATACCGAAAGAACTGGGATCTGTTGGGGAGGACTCTCAGGATGGCTGCAACAACCAGACAGATGATGAAGTTAGACTCAGAAATGCATCAAAACACAGAAACCAAATCCATCTCCTCACGTATAAACCTCTTATTGATTAGGCACCATTGTATCTTACAGAACCTATAGTTCTCCATTTCTCCTGGAGAACATCGTCTTATTATTTCTACCTAAAGGTTAAAAATAGTATGGGAGGTAGAATTTAAATTTGACTTTTAATTAGTACACCTGCAGATGATCTGATATGGGAGGAGATGTACCCATAAAGAGTTAAAGAACCTTCTAAACTTCATCCCTCGCCTTAATACCCCTCTAGAAGATTAGGCTCCCAGGATACAGGCCTGCATGTCGTATCTATGGTCTCTAAATGTACTATGGGAGGTGGGGCCTTCAGCAAGCAGGCCCCTCCCCTTTGGAAACATTTACTAGGAAGGGTCCAGGAGGCAGACACCCACCACGAGGAGGCTCATACTGTAAGTGTCATGTCACATAAAGCTTTAAGCTAGGACTTGCGCAGGCTTGGACCATCTCCAGGTTTTGTTGCCATAGAATAAATATTAAAATAAACAAAAAGTATTTCAGTATAAAAATTGTGCATTGTTTTTAACTCGCATCACATCATTAAATATTAAAATTGGCAAAGGCTAATTACAAAAAAGGGTTTTTGAACAACATTTCTTAACTTTAGGCACAGCACAGCGTACCTGAAAAATGAAAGAAAACATTTTTAGAATTTTTTTCTAAAAATGAAAGATCTTAGAAATGTGGGAACATAGGCACGCTCCCGTCACAGACTGTAGTCTTCAACCTGCGTCACTCTTAATTATCTTAATTATTTTCCTCTGTCATATTTACACAACTGTTCGGTTTCTCTCTCTTTCAAGCCAAACAACACGGACGTCAGGTTTTGCTGGAGGTCTGATCCACACCTGCTCTATATGTCGAGTCACTGGATTTCTTTGTTGTAAAATGTCTCTTAAAATCTAAATGTATCGATTCTCTGCATGCACGTCAACAAGCCGATGTGCAGACATCCGGCAGTCTGGTCACCTATGAGACATTTAGTTTCAGCTCCTCGATTCACTGCGGATGAGATTATTCAAGATGCTTCAATCCTGCAGCTTCTAAAAAATGTTAATAAAACACAAAAATGCATAAACCTCTGAGCTGAACATGTTGATTTTTAAGAAGTGGATGGTAAGACTTTCTCTCTTCTCATCTACAGTTCAGTCATTAAGAACCACAGCTGATAGCATCTGCAGCTGCAGGGCACCAAAGCATTCACCCTACATACACTGAAAGCCTTGAGTCGCCCACGATAGAAGCCCGTGTGATAATGTGATAAAGGTGACAGGCCGAGGAAAAAGATTCTTCTCATACATTCTCTCTGCAGAGACTCACTGTTACATAAAGGTAGTCAAGGTAACTAAAAGCTCAGTTTAACCAGAAGTTAGTGTTAATGTGGTGATAACCCTGTGAAGTGTTTGGAGGGGGAAGTGTGTGTGTGGGGGGGGGGTGTTGTTGTTTTCGCTGCTTGCAACCAGCGTGTGATACAGATACTTTGTGTCTGGAGCCGTTTCCACACATGCACTTCTGAAAACATCTAAATCACTTCAGGAGGACTGCCCCTGAAATCCTCCTGATTTGGTTTGTTCACACATGCACCTCACAGAGGGAGACTATCCCTGACAGACGGGGGGGAGTGAGGTCAAAAAAAACTAAGCGGAAGTAGCGGACGTAGCAGCAGAGTCCTCTATACTCTAGACTTTACACTGTTTACATTATTCTATATTTTTACATTATATTTCTATATTACTGTATTTATGTGTGTAAGTAATTTGAGTGTTTATTGCACTGCCTTGCGGAACAGTCTTTACTTTTCACTGCACATCTGTATGAGCATGTGACAAATACAAATCTGGAATCTATAAGACGCTGTAATGAGAATATGTGTGTGTGTATCAATGCTACGTGTAGTAGAATCTCAAAGTGAAGTAAAGAGAGGAGAAGAACATCGTGGAGAACAGGAAACATGCAGCAGCAGGTTGATTAGAGCACGGAGATGGTAGAGGTGGCGTGCAGACAGTCTATGGTCTATTTTGTGTTAATGTCGTCTCTGCTGTTTTTCCAATGCACAAAAATGATTCAAGTTGAATTCATGAAACAGGTCAAAGGATTTACAGTGTAACACAGTTATCCTGGTACAGAGCCAGGGTTACAGCGGGCGCCTCACACTCAGAGGGTCCCTGGTTCGAGTCTCACATTGAACAAACTTAAAAACACAAGTTGGTCGGAGTAAGAACATTTTTGTGTTCTGAATGAAAACAAATTTGTCTCCTCACTGTAAATTCAGTCAACTCAAACTTTGAAAATTAGCAAACACAAGTATCATGAAAAGAGTCCAACATGTAACGACGATGGCGACGCTGTAAACTGTACGGATCGTCAGCGTCTCATGTTATTGATCCGAGAAGACACAAATATTAAGGAACAACAAAAGTTTGCATATGAACACAGAGAAACAGGACTCACCTACGACAGCGCACAGAGTCGTTATCTCCATGGTGCTGTGAACACTGACTGACTCTCGGGCTCTCAGGGGGGGGGACTGTTTAGATCACACCCTACTTTAGGCGTGAGCTCCTTATAAAGGCCACCACTTCCTGCTTTGATGTGTCTCAACACTGTTTATGTCATGGCTGTAGTGAAGCCACGGCTTAGAGGTCTGATTTTAGCATTTCCTGAACTTTACTTTAAAAACTCTTAAACCTGCATCAGAGCGGACGAACAAACTGCCACGCAGATGTTTCTATATGTTTTTGATTTGCACAACTCCAAAGGCAGAATCTTTGGCACGTTGACTCTGACATGAGGCGTGTGTGTTTGGTTGGAAATGTTTCAAAGTGGACATCTGAAATCACAGCTTTTGTTCTCCTCTTTAATGAAACATGAGTGGGGATCTTTTTTTCTACCACATGTGTAAAATGTGTTTCTTCACCTGACCTCACTGTTTGTTGATTCTCTTTGTGAACAGTTTTCAGAGCATGTCGGGGCTGAATGTGGTCGATGTTTGACCTTGATCTGGGTCTTGTTAAATATGAGAGTAAAGGTCGTTGGGGTTTACATGTTTCCTCTCAGACTGCATGTGCGGGGTTTCCTGTGCTCTCCCCGGAGTTTCAGGGTGAAATGTTGCTTCAAGTTTGGCAAATTAAAACATGCAGGGGGGCGCCGGTAGTCGGTGCCCGTGCTGCATGTGCATGTGTGGAGGCTTAACCCCCATTTCAACCAAGTGGTCTGGTTTGGTTCAGTACAGTTTGGTACAGTAAACCCTGATCTTGAGTTTCAACAGCCAACGTTGCATCAGCTACGTGTTAGCGTAGCTAATGGAGGCTGTCGTTTCAAGCAGGCGGCCCGGGTTTGCTTCCCACCTGTGGCCTCTTTCCCACATGTCATTCCCCACTCTCTCTCTCTCCCTGATTTACGACTCTATCCACTGTCCTATCTATCCATTAAATGCACAAAAAGCCCAAAAATAAATCTTAAAAAAGAAAAGAAATGTGTCTCTCCGCGGTTTCTGAGTCTGTTCACTGTCCTGTCTCTAAAGTAAGAGCATAAAAAGCCAAAGAAACAATTCTTTATAAAAACATGCAGTAGATAGAAAGGACAGCTGCATCACTACAAGAAAATAAATTAATGGTCATCATGATTTGATTCCTTGTTTTTTTTCTAGTTCATTCTGAATTTGTTGACAAAAAAAATATACCATCTCATCGCTTACACAATACACTAATACAGGTGATAAAGGATGACATGGAGAATATTTGTTTTTGGTTTAAAGTTCAGTGACATAAGTTTGAAAACTACGGTGGCCCTGAAGGTGCGTTACAAAAACATTTTACAAAACGTAAACACTTTTAATTAATCCCAATATAACTTTTCTTGGAACGCAAAAAAAATAAAAATGTTTTTGTGTCTATTAAATGTGTTTTTTGACTTATTTTAGAATTTTGTTTCATGTTTTTGTATTTTGTGAAATGTTTTTGTAGACCTTCAGGGCCACCGTAGAAAGCCTATGTATGTGGAAAATGTATTAATAGATGAATAATAAAAAGAGTCATTGAAAGAAAAAAAAAGTCATTACAATAAAACCATTTGTATTTGAATATTGTTTTTTAATCTATGTTTAAATCAATGAGTAGGCCTAACTGGAGGGAAGCGGATAAATGATTGCGTTTATGATTTAATCTATCTGATGGATTAAATAAACTACAACTGTACGTTTTACCGGAAATGTTTACGTTTCTACTGTCACCACGGTCCGGAAATATAGAAACGACCAGAACTATCTCAATTTACTTTCCAAAACAAAACAATGCACTGCGCCTTGTACGTCATGGAACGTGTTGACGTCACTCAATGCCCCGCCCAGTTTGTGAACACTCAAGTAGAACCTGCAGACAGAAACATGTCACACACTCGCCCAGCAGCGGAGAGCTCCGACAGCACTGTAACGACGGTAACCGACGGTATCTGTGTTTTAACCGGGTACTCTTATGATTTTCTTCGGAGGCTCCGGTCTGACCTTCCCTCTCTGGACTCTGACTGCTCCTTTCAGTCTGTTACTGTGGACGCTTGTCGAAGGTAAGCTCCTCTCTGTCTCCGTACCGGTGTAAAGTGCTGTGGTTGTCATGGTTACAAGAGCCGATAGAATTTAAGAAAAGATGAAAGTAATCCCGCGCGGACGCCTCTTTGTTTAACTCTTCGTTATAATGTCGAAATGTAGTACTCATTAGATATGTTTTTTATATAAAACTAAAATAATTAGATTAGTTTTCAACAGTTTTTTGTAACCACGCCAACCAGAGACGTTATTCGGCTGAGAGTCACCAAGTTACACGGTCTCTCTTTTAACCGTAACACCTGTTAGCTTTCATTCATCTACATTGTAGTGTCAGAATTTAAACTTAAAACACTTTAAATTAAGTGTTAACTGTGTTGTAGTGTCCTGTACCGAAGTTTTTACTGCCTAAACAAGCAAATGTGATTAAAACGAACAAGTCGAGTAGGTAAAGTGAACACACTTTACTGGACAAAAGAGGAAGAGAAATGTTGGTTATAGCGTCACCTCGTGGTAACAAGCAGACCCTAACAACAATCCCTCCTCTGATTCTTCTCAATAAATACAGTTTTAATCATTAAATTAGATTTGCAGCTCTTAAACTCAGATATAAATGTTTAAACATTAAGCTCCCGTGCCTGTGTTAAAGTGACCTCGTGGTTCTGATGACACATGGAGCTGGTGATTCATACTTTTCCATTGAAGTGAATACTCCAGAGGGTGATTCAATGATGACTCAGAGTGAAATCATCTCTTGTGCCCTCCTCTTTGCCATGAAAGGGCTCAATAAGGTTGTGGGAGTGGGATCTCTGGGTGGGAGTATTTCAGTGTCCCACTATCTGATTAGATTTGGACTTTTTCAGGTCATGAGTCGATATAAAATCGATTTTCGATTTCAAACCGATCACATTACGCTCCCGTTGAAGGGCTACTTATTTCAGGACCTACTTCAGTCTGCTGTCCACTAAGAAGCTACAAAATAGTTATTTTACTTTGACACAGCAATATTACAATTTCAGTGATTCTAGTGGAAACATTTTGACTTGACTGAGTCTGAAGGTGTGAGCTGTCATGGTAACTTGCAGAAAGATGGTGTTGTATTTCCTTATGGTTAAACTGTTTTGCATACCAGGACAAATTTTGGACGTGTCCCAAAAGTTGAATAATAACAAGAGACCAGACTGTAGGCTCCACCAACAGAGTTACAAAAGTTGATCGATTGGACTGACCAAATGCCACCTTGACTGAAGGTTTTGTAATCTTTGACTTGGGGGGGGGGGCAGCCAATGGTTCCATTAAAAGTTTTCCATTAAAAGTTTTCCATCAGTTTCATCCTTGAATGAAGCCGAGGAAATGAACGCTCAATGCTGTCATGCTAACTGGAAGTCAGCTGGCTGATTGTTTAACGGTCTTTCCTATCAGGAAGTTGTTTTCTTTGTTGGACGTGTCCCAAAAGTAGAATAATAACAAGAAACCGCCTTCTGTTATCACGCTATGCAGACTGTAGGCTGCACCAACTGATACTGAACCAGTTGGTCATCATGTTTGTCTTTTATTACATTGCCAACTCTGAAGTTAGTGTCAGACTGGTTTTGATATCAGAGGTCGCCTCCTTTCCAAAACCATTGGACCCGTTGATGGAGCCTCTCCAACACCTTTTAAATGTGGCTTTGGGGGGAAACAAGCTGAACTGCCCTAAGGTCCAAATAGAGTTCAATAAAAATGGTTAAAAACAACATAAATTTGACTTTAAACGCGATGAAAGTAGTCGAGTGAAGGGTTTGAGAGGAACAAAAAATTTGACAATATTGTCTTTCCTGACCTGTGTGATGCAGTTATCCAATCACTGGGGCTAAATATTAAAAATGATTCTTTAAATCGGAGCTCCTATTAGATTTAAAGACCTACCATGTGCTTAATGCCACCTGCTGTACCGTTTGGACGTCATCTCTTTGTCAGAAGGTTAACATTTCCCTCTGATTTATTTCCAGGTCAGTACCGTGTGAGCTCTTCTTCTCAGCCAATCACGGCTTCCCCTGGTGACGATGTCATCCTGCGGTGTCATGTGAAACCTGAATATAACGTCCGGGCGCTGACCATAGAGTGGTCCAGGTCGGGCACCTTGGATCGGCCGTGGGAGGTGGAGGGGGAGGAGGAGGACTATGTCCACCTGTACAGGAACCAGAAGGACAACGAGGACGGCAAGATCCGGGCGTACATCAACAGGACCGACCTGTTGAAGGACTCGCTGCGACACGGGAACGTTTCACTGAAGATAAAGAATGTGACGGTGGACGATCAGGGAACTTACCGATGTTTCATCCCCAAACTGAGCAGCAGAGTGTGGAGAGGGAGAGAGGCGTTTGTTACGCTCAAAGTTCTCGGTGAGTTTGCTTTGATGTTTGTAGACTAAGGCGTGGTTATTGACTAGGGGCGGCCATTTTTACTTAATGCTGATTTAACCATGTCAGAAAAATGACAAAGTGGAAGCCCGCTAAGAAATCCCTCTAGTTGGTCATTACTTTCCTGTTTGGACTTGGATTGGTTTTCCTCGATCTTAACAATCTTTCATTTTTTCCAGAACCAAACTTTGGAAGGACAACAGAGTCATCGCCGGTCCTCACCACTCCAGAACCAATCGATCAGATCAATGTCCAAAGTGAGAAAATGCTTCAATTCTCTGAGACAAGAATGTTCTGAGTAGTCTGAGTTTTAGGTAAAACGAGGCTCTAGATACAAGTCTCTCTAACGTTTCTCTCTGTTTGCTTTTTTTTTTCCCACATCAGGTGACCGGCACCGTCACTTCCTCTGGATTTCTGTTGTGACTGTCTGCTTCATAGCAATCCTGGGAGGTGTAGTCTTAACTTTACTCAAACTAAAGTGTGGAGAACAAAATGTAAAACAGACAGAGAAAAAAAGCGTTGATGCTCTTCTTCAAAGAAAAGCACTTTCAGTATAGCTGCGCAGCTCAAACACGCAGGCACAGTCGAGAGCTTCTCTTGGGTCGCCCTCGTCCGTTCAGAGATTCAACCCAACAGGATCATCAGGAGAGCTCCATATGATGGTAACAGACCTCCATCAGAACAAAGGTAAGTCTGCTGCTGAATGTGTTCCTGCTCTGTATGTCAGATGTCAGGCCGTAGTTTGAATTGGAAATGATGGAGCTTTTTTATTTCCATTTTCTGAAATTTGCATTAGAGGCGCAGCAGTATGAAAATACTGGATGTTTGACTGCGTGTGTGTTCAGCTGTAGAAGTTTCAGGAGTTAAAATCCTGCTTGAAAAGGATCTGAAAGCACTAAAATAACACAACAAACACAGGTGTGGAGAGGGGGGTTTCACATTTTAGTCTGCTGTTGTAAAGTAATGGAGGAAGGTCGTCTCTGAAAAAAGGACAAGATGCATCGTTTCTCGCTTTATGTGAAACAGCAGTTTACTGTGAGTGAAGTCATCAGAGGGTCGTTAAGACCAGGAGCACGATGTAGACCCTAAAGTTATCGTGTTGTTAGAGAAACACTAACGCTGGTCCAAAGACAAAAGCAAAGAAAGACGTTTTCACTCCTGAAAATATCTCGATGGTTTCAGGAGGACTGCGGGAGAATTTACATTTTGACCAAACGTTAATAAAGCAAGTGCAGACAGAACTAATATGGGAGGTCTGTTGTTACAGTACAGATACAACCTGCCTCCCGTACTACCTAAAGGACCCACAAGCCTTTATTCTCAAAGTCTCCAGAGGTAGCACAAAGGAGTTTTTTTAAGATTAAAAAAACATGGTTAAGTTATTATTTTTTTTTTTTTTGAAGCAGCAAACTTATTATTTCTGCTCCGTTCTTCTTAACAGCTCTCCTGGAGATCCTTCAGTCGGCCGAGTCGAACCCCAGCAGAGTCCGGATAAAGACGACTTTGAAGGAACAGATTTTCCATCTGAAACACTTTTTTTTTTTTTTTTAGACTTTAAAAAAAGAGGGACCGCTGCAGACCTCTAAATCCTTTCCAAGATTCTGAGGATCTTATCGGCTGCAGGATTATCTCTCTGTGTCTCAGGAGAACCTTTATTTATTTAGCGTAGGAGAAAGAACTTCACAGTTTACACCTCGTCAATCGTTCCTCAACAAGAGACGACGACGACTTCACCCGACCTCAAAAGGACCCAGAATGGATTTCATTTTTTATGTTATTTATCCAAATCTTTATTTTCTGGTCTGCTCAGATTCATCTTCTTCAACAGAGGAGCTATGTGCCATATGTTGTGTTCCTAAATGATGTCTCCATAAGCTTTGGAAATTTCTGTTAAAAATAAAATGAACATTGTTGGAAAACTCTCAAGTGACCATAAAACCAAACGGCAGCTGTTTAATAGCGTGATTTATTCTGGGCCTTTTCCAGTTGTTGCACTGAAACACTGATATTGAATTATAAGCTCAGCCGTTAAACAAACGTGATGTTTAGTTACAGTTTATCTGTGTTAGCTTGTTTACATTCCACGCTCAACAAAAAGTTCAATCAGTGGATTAAAAGAAACGTATTTTCCAAATGTTCCAACAGTTTAACAGTTGAATGTGTTTCATTAGTCAACGTGTCAGATCCTCAGCTCTTATACTGAAGATTTATCAGCTTATCCTCAGCGATATGAGGGGGCGTGGCCTCATTCTAGACTTGTCATATCCGATTTTGACTCCCACTTTAGTTTACAACCTGATGCTGCTCACTTTGTCCTAAATGAGTGACAACTTATTAAAGGTTTGTTTTTATTTTGCAAAGGGGGAGGAGTTAAGACTGATCGACGTGACAGTGATTTAGTGTCCGCTTATGATTCATGTTATGAAGAGTTTTATTTTAGTATTTTGTGTGACTGATGGATGATTTTAATTTATATGGAAGATGAATCTGCTGTGGTTAGCTCTACTTCCTTCATATCGACTGTGCCGTGTGTTTGAGCAGGGCAATACGTTATCTTTACTGTCTACTGTTTTTGCACTTATCTTAATTAGACATGATGACTTGAATATGTGTAGCCTACACCTTTCATAAACAGCAGGTTGAAAACTGTTTTTCCCCTGAATGTATTTAAACATGTTTTGTTGTATTTATGCATGTTATGTTCTTGAAACTGTGGTTGTCTTTACAGCCGCTGTTTCTGAATAAACCAATGTTCTAGAGAAATGCAGTGCTGTGCCTTTATTCTTGATGCTCGTTCTTCACTTCAAGGGGACGTCCCGTTCTGTGACCTGGGGCTCTTATTTTGACATACAGTAATTCTCTGCAAAATGGTCTCAGCCAAAGCCAGAAAAAAACACCGGTTCTGGTTTCAGTCTGCTGCAGGGGCTCGTTCTTGTCTCTGACAGGCTCTGATTATTATTATTTCTTCTAAATTGTGTGGGGGTACACTACACATTCATCAACTAACCATCCATCCATCAATTATCTATCCATCAATAATCCATCCGTCCATCCATTTTACTCTTATCATACTCTCCAGCTCCTCCTCATGGGGGATCCCGAGGTCTTCCCAGTCCAGACAGGATATATAATCCCTCCGTTGAGCTCTGGGTCTACCTCGTGGTCTCCTCCCATTTGGACTTGATGTCCCAAAACTTTTAAATATATCACCTCTCACTATAAGATATTTGCTTAAAGAAAATACTTAAAAAGCATTTCCAGAACTCATTTCCCTCGTGTTCCTTTCAAACTGAAGGTTTCTTTTTGTTTGTTATTCGACCGGCACTGAGTGAGATCATGTTCTGACCATTCGCTAAATGTCCTGTGGCTCCCTCTAGTGTTTAAAAGAGAGTACTAAAAATGTAAAGCAGTGGTTCTCATGGACTTAAACATATTTAACCAGACGTACACTTGAGAAGATTTTGAACCATGATCCCCTGTACACCAGGACTCTTGGTATTAGATTCTTTATTAAACCGATTTATATTATACTAAAACTATATAAAAAATACATATATTTCAATCAAATCCACTTTATTAATGAAGCATTTTATAAAAAACACATTTCAGTTTACCACACAAAGCAGAAATACGTATAACACAACAGACAGCAAGGAAAACATCAAAGCAAGAATATAAAAACACACAAACTTTAACTTGTAAAAAAAAAATATATATATATATATATACAGTTTCTGATAAATGAGCTCTATGGGGACTGACTCACTGCAGGAGACAGACTCTAGTGGACACTGGAGGAACTGCAGCTGTAAAGTTGGACATTTTAACATGGGACTCTATGGGGACTGACTCACTGCAGGAGACAGACTCTAGTGGACACTGGAGGAACTGCAGCTGTAAAGTTGGACATTTTAACATGGGGCTATATGGGGACTGACCCACTGCAGGAGACAGACTCTAGTGGACTCTGGAGGAACTGCAGCTGTAAAGTTAGACATTTTAACATAGAGCTCTATGAGGACTGACTCACTGCAGGAAACAGACTCTAGTGGACACTGGAGGAACTGCAGCTGTAAAGTTGGACATTTTAACATGGGGCTCTATGAGGACTGACTCACTGCAGGAGACAGACTCTAGTGGACACTGGAGGAACTGCAGTTTGTTTATTTATTTTGTACTTTCAAGCCAAATGCTGGTTGACCATTTACCTCAATTGTCACTCATAGAGCTAGAAGCAAAAGAATCCTCTTCTTCATCAATTAAACTGAATGGAGGCGAGCCTTTCTGCACTTGAGAAAGCATCTCTGCACTCACTCGTCACCTGTGGAGACCTTCAGGCCTCAGAGTCAGCTGAAACTTTGCTACAACTTTCATGCCGCAGAGGTTCCACTTGTTGACGAAGACGAGTGATTTCACTCTCCTTAAGTTCCACTTGTTGACCAAGACGAGTGATTTCACTCTCCTTAAGTTCCACTTGTTGACCAAGACGAGTGATTTCACTCTCCTTAAGTTCCACTTGTTGACCAAGACGAGTGATTTCACTCTCCTTAAGTTCCACTTGTTGACCAAGACGAGTGATTTCACTCTGTTGACTCTCCCTGAGTGGCATACCAGCTCCGTCAGTCACATCTGTGAAAGCAAAAACGTTCATATCTTTACTTTCTAAGATGTGAGGCATCACTTAGAGTAACTTCAATACTTCCCAAAAAGAATATCTACTATCAGTCAACCATAGATCGCTCTTACACTTGACTTCTTTTTTCAGAAAAAAGCACTGCTTTCAGAGTGTTCTGTAACCTTAACGACGGGGTCTAGCCTGCGGTGCAACCGCGCCGGAGCACAACGCATCAATTTAGCACAGAAAAGAACAAGCGGGACGGGAAGTCAGACACCGATACAACATTAAAACATCCGGTTTATTTTCAGAATAAAACTCTCCGTTTTGGTTCAGAAAAAACACTGTTTATGTGTTAGTTTATGTGTTTATAAGGTTTTTATTGAGTTTTATACCACGAACATCGTATTATCTCGTTTTTTCGCGAGTGTCCTTTGTCTCCGTACTCCAGCTGTCCGGCTGTGCTCTCCATGCTGCAGACTGAGATCGCAGCCGGTGGGTTCTGACAGATGAGGATGCACTGACCCATAACAGACCGGAGCGGACACGCAATGCACACATGGTGGAAGTTTGCCGTTTTTGGGCACCGGTAACTAGGGACGTAGGTTACTACTCACCCAGCGCTTTTCTGAAAAGTTTGAATAATTCAACTGAAAAAGGCGTCGGGCGCAGCGCTTTTGAAAAGGCGTCATACTTTTTCCATTTTCCATAGGCTTGTATGTAAAAAAGGTGCTGGCAGTTGAAAAAAAGAAGTCAAGTGTGAACACGGCCTTAGGCTTCATTTCTGTTGCAAACCAAACATAAACCTTGATGACCACCACGGATATCTCCCTGTCATTTCAGATGACGATCCAGTGTGGGTGGTGTGGTTGTTTGCAAACTCTGCAAGAAAAAAAGTTCAGCCACAAGGCGGCGTCCTCTCAAGGTCATCCTGCGTCTGGGCCGTGTGGGGTCAAGACTACGTAAGTAAGGTAAGAATTCACCTTCACCCTAATCTCTCGTCTTCTTCTGTGAATACACTTCAAGTACGTCGTCTCTCTGACTATAAGTGATCTAGTGATTGTGAAACCTGCGTGTCAGCATTACAGGCATAGACAGATGAAGGTGTGGTCTGAGCAGTATTCGGGCTATTTGCTTGTTCCCAAGACGATCAATCAAACAACCAATCTGGGTTAGCTAGCTCGTAGGTAGCCAATTACAGCGAGTCCTTAAACCAGGGTGGTCTTCCAGTTTCTACATGAGGCTACATCCACTTTGTTTTTACAATGATCCTATCATGTGGAGTTTAAACGTCTGAAGGTTCAATTTACAAGTATAGCAATACCCCTCTGGGAAACACTTCTACTACAGTAGCAACGAGGAAAATATGAATTACCTGTTCTCCGACCCCTTTCCTCCAAGCTGGTGATGAAAAGAAATGCAGTATGAATGAATGACTCAATGACATTTAAAACAAATGTGGTGACATTTATCATATTCAGAAGCTTAATAACTTACCCCAATAAAACAAATGCAACAAGGAGCAGCACGACCACTACTGATGATACCGCAACAATATTAGTCAAATGTATTTCCAGGGAAACATATTTCTTGTAGATTTCTGAAAAAGCAAAACTGGTTAGAGATGGAAATACAAATCACTTGTCAATACAGTTGCAAGAAAACTTTTAACTTAAAGGATACTTAAAGGGATACTTCACCTGCTGAAAACATGAATCTGTATTGACATTGGGTCATGTATGTAGAAATGTGAAATACATTCTGAAGTTGGTGCCTTCTTGGCCGAGAAAAGGCAGAAAGTGTCTTTTGGCTCATGTGGATGAAGACACCAAATTCCAGAATGCACAGCACCGCAGGCCACTCCCACTAAGGTCAGGTTTACAGACATATTTACTTCAACACATAAGGTCGTTTCCTCAACTGATTCAGAGATTTCTTCCAAAAGGAATTGGTATCTTGGAAATTCCTGGCAGAAAACAGACTCCAGCGGCGGCCCCAGTGGCCAGCGGAGGCAGCAGCTGTCTCGCCGCTATATTTATATTTTTTCTCCATTACCAACTTTCATAGATCAACCATAGAGCCTGTTAGCATAGCTTCCAAGCAATATGGCAGATGTTAAGTTTCGATTCTGGAGTGAGTTCCCACCCACTGATCTGTGATTGGTCTTTAGCTTCAGTGGTCGAAAATATGAGATACTAGCGTTGTAGTTTCACCACGCTAACCGCAACAGCTTCCAGTGACGCAAAATGATGATTTTTGCGTCACTGGAAGCTCCTTTTCAGACTCAGAAATACAAAGATTTCCCATCTCAGAGGAAAATGAGGGCGGATGCACAACCATTTAAAAATACTATCAGGTTTCTAATGATACAAAGCTTAATGCAAATGAGTGAAGTATCCCTTTAAGACAAACAAATCCAGATCCTAAAGTTAGAAGGAGGACATACTGGCTGCTGCATTGTGTCAGAGAAGCCAGCACTTCAACATAACATGTTTTCTTAATGTCTGATCATATAGTAAGGTCATCTTGTGATTTAATTCATTATATATCATTGAATATACATTGGACCTTTAAGTGCAATTGATAGAGATTCAGCAATAATCATTGTGAATTTAACTAAAGCAGACTTGCCTGGAACTGTAAAATTTGTTTTCCTCGTTTCTCTAATGCCCAGTTGTCGAACTGTACACGTGTAATTATCACTTGCCCACATCTCCACTGTAATCCTGCTCACGATGGAGAAGTATTCATCATCCTGGACTGGACTGATGTCTTCATGAGGGACGATTTGCTCTTTGCTGTCCCTCCACTCCATCTCAGGCTTTGGGTACCAGTTTCTCACTTCACACTTAAAAACGAGTTTGTCCAAAGATCTCTCGAGAGTGATCTGTGGCTCAGAAACGGCACCTATGACTAAGGAAAACAACTGAACCATCAAAACATGTCGTATTTAAAGTGTTCGTTAAGTTGAGCATCTCTGAGCAAAGAAATTGAAAAGCTCATGCAGTCAAGCTTACCAACAGGGACTTCAAGAGAAAATTGGGAGCTCACATCCATAACCAGTTTACATGTGTATGTCCCAGTGTCAGACAGTTTAGGGTAATTCAGCTTCAAGGACATGTCGCCTTTCTCAGGTCCCTGTTCAAACAACTCTGTCCTTTCCTTGAAGGATGGATTTACCTCCTTAGGCTCCAAACGCCTTTGACGGTAAATAAGAACGTAAGTGGGATCCAGGTCTGCTCGTGTCCACTCCACCGACTTATCAGCAACGCTTTCTGCTGGCTGCAGGCGACATGAAAGGACACATTGTTGTCCAACTAAGCCGACCACTGGCTCTGGTTGTCCCGTCAACCGAAGTTCACCTAGAGAAGGGCACATGAACAAGCAGCTGCTTTAAAAGTGAATCCCAATGATTGAGTGGTGCACTTTCCTGAAATATTTATCCAATCAGATGTAGAAATGCTCAACATGCCATCCACTGTTTAACATCGCTTAAAGGGATACTTCACCCATTTGCATAAATCTTTGTATCATTAGAAACCTGGTAGTATTTTTGAATGGCCGTGCATCCCGCCCTCATTTTCCCCTGAGAGGGAAATCTTTGTATTTCTGAGTCTGAAAAGGAGCTTCCAGTGACGCAAAAATGACAATTTTTTGCATCACGGGAAGCTGTTGTGGTTAGCGGGGTGAAACTACAATGCTAGTTCCTCATATTTGACCACTGAAGCTACAGACCAATCACAGATCAGTGGGTGGGAACTCACTCCCAGAATCGAAACTTAACGTCCGCCATATTGCTTGGAAGCTATGCTAACAGGCTCTATGGAGAAAGCTGATAATGGCGAAAAAATATAAATATAGCGGCGAGACGGCTGCTGCCGACAGGCCGGTCTTGTGTCTTGGCTGCTGGCTGCTGGAGTCTGTTTTTTGCCAGGGATTTCGAGATACCAATTCCTTCTGGAAGAAATCTTGGAATCAGTTGAGGAAATGGCCTTATGTGTTGAAGTAAATATGTCTGTAAACCTGACCTTAGTGGGAGTGGCCTGCAGTGCTGTGCATTCTGGGAGTTGTTGTCTTTCATCCGCATGAGCCAAAAAGACACTTTCTGCCTTTTCTTGGCCAAGAAGGCACCAACTTCAAAATTTATTTCACATTTCTACATATATGACCCAAAGTCAACACAGATTCATGTTTCAACGAGTGAAGTATCCCTTTAAACTTTGCAAGACCAATTCCTACAATGCCCCAACCCTACCCATCCAATGAAGATATAACTAAGTCCCAACCAACCTGTCTGATGAACTCGACACACTGCACTGACAGATTCTCTTGAAGATGTAATCAGTCGTTCTTACCTTTGATAGTCAGAAGCAAGCTCTGCAAGAACAATAGTTCAGCCACGCCGCGGCGGCCTCTCAAGGTCATCCTACTTAAGGGCCGTGTGGGGCCAAGACTACGCAAGTAAGGTAAGAATTCACCTTCACCTCAACCTCTCGTCTTCATCTGTGAATACACTTCAAGTACGTCGTCTCTCTGACTTTAAGGAATCTAGAGAATGTGAAACCTGCGTGTCAGCATTACAAGCATAGACAGATGAAGGTGTGGTCTGAGCAGTATTCCGGCTATTTGCTTGTTTACAAACAACCAATCCGGGTTAGCTAGCTCGTAGGTAGCCAATCACAGCGAGTCCTTAAACAAGGGTGGTCTTCCGGTTTCTATGTATTCCGGTTCCTCCCTTCCTCTTTGCCAGGTTACATCGCAAAGCATTTCCTATAAAGCTGCAGCGGTTGATGACCTTGACGTTTGGCTTCTTGCAAAGGAAAACGTACGTTATGTCGCGTCATTCAGTAGGAGGGGCTTAGCAGAGTGGCACAAGCCTACAGACAGATTAGTGGACCGTTTTGCAGTTTTGAACTTTTTCTTTCCAACATACCCTGGTGAAGAAGACTCGGATGGATTCGGCATTCAATTCTCTTTTGAATGTGTTGGATTGTCTTGAATGTGCTTGTAACGCCATCTTAATCTCTAATGCACATGTTCGGTACTTGTCTAATGTCATACTCGTTTGACCACATGAATGGTTTCATTGCAGTGAAACAAAATAGAAACACTTAACTAACGCTTCAACGACCTTACTGTCACTGGGAAACTCGGGCGTTGATGCACAGTGACTGGGACATTGTTGTTCTGCTGTGGTTGCGGGGTTTCTTGGGGACATTTTCAGGGGTCTGTACGACACTTTGCAAAAAAAAGAGAGCACAAGAATAGACAGCGGGGAAGTGAATAGTTTGTGAGGAGTTTATTGACTGATACTTGGCTGCACATTGTCACCTTTGGAGTACTTCCTATGTGGTTGTAGCGTGTGTAGAGTATTTGGATTCCTGGGCATGACTTATTTGCATTTCTTGAATTCCTCTCCCTTTAGCCTATCAACCGGCTCAACCTGATCCAACCTCTTTCTGTTGTTAATGCTGGGTCGACCAGGGCAAGTTTTTCTCTGTGCCAACAGTCAGACATTTTTGTCCTTGTTGCTATGTTGCACTGAAGATTTACAAACTAATTAGCTGATCATGCATATTCCGGTTTGTCAGGTTCAAATGCTCTTTTTAGATGCCTGCTGACAGAGTGCACTGCTCTCATTTTTTTTAAATAACTGCTATGATTGAAAACTTTATGCCCGGAAATGCCTGGGCCTCCAGGGGCTGCTGTTTTAAAGCAGTCACTGAGAGACCTACTTCACATATCAGGATGGTCGACCACCTGCCGGGAGGTTAGGGTTAGGGCCACGCTCTGCCAATGAAAGGGGTCTGATCCAACCTTCACAACAGGGTCCTAAGTCTCTGACTAGACTCTTCTCCACTGTTGCCCCCCGGTGGTGGAATGAACTTCCAAACTCCACTGGATCTGCAGAGTCCCTCTGCAACTTTTCACAGACAATGACCTAGAAACAGAAGTGTGCGGCGTGCGTCTCACTGAGGTTTGGTTTCAGGGAGGAAGTGCTGAGCCACTTATGTCGAAGTCGACCAGCTGCCAGCCTGCAGCGAAAGACGATGAAGCCCACTGTGTTATTTCTCAACTTCTGTGAGTAACAGTGTCTTTAGTGTCAATCAAGAAATATGACACATGTGGAGCCACGTCTTGACTCGTCTTCTTTTTTGGTTTTCCAGGTGTGTTTCTTGTAACCGTTTCATGTGATATGGAAGCCAAAGGTAATGAGCTCTCTATGTTTAAGTGCAGGTTTCTATCCAATCTTTGAGACAAAAGCAAATATAAACTGACAAAAACTCCTCCTGCTGTGATGCTAACATATGTACAACTTCAGTTGGATGTGGGGAATAATTGAGATTTTGTTGGGGACACATTTGATTTTTTTGTATTTTGGTACCGTTTTTTTCTCTTTTGCTCATGAGAAAGCAGGCAGCAGGATATTGTGGGTAGAATGGTGTAACATGCAACAAGCTGCCGACACCGTACAAGGCAGTCGCAGTCGTTTGGTTTCTTATAACTCTTGTAAGCCTAAGGGCCAACCCCACTTTCCACACTGGGGCTCAGATTGAGTTTTGTCTTCCAGTCTTCCATCTACAAACGACTCCCGACAGATCTCAGTTCTTTCAGTATGAGGACGTCTCTCTGAGCTGCAAGGGCTCGCCCGGCGCCGCTCTGCTGAAGAGGAACACCACCAGAGGAGGAGTGAGTCCTGCCCGAGTGGTTGGGGAACTCTGGAGAACTCGACCTGCAGCATCCGTACCATGTACCCTTCGATAGCGGACTCTACTGGTGTGAGTCTGACTCAGGAGAGAGGAGCCAAACTTTACACATCATAGTCTCAGGTATGAACTGTTACCAAGTTATCAGGTTGGTTAACAAACAAAGGGACGTCATTTCCAACCCTTTTGTAACCGAACAAATCAAACATAAAAGCATAAACAGTGTTTGTTAGTCACTGGTTTACTCCCTCTTACATGAGTTGTATCTTGTAGTCAATGCTAATGCTAATGCTAATTAGCAAGGCAAACACTTTGACTTCTTGTTGCTGAGTCATGTTAACAAAAGACAAGGCTGAAAAATAATATCTCTGTGTCTAACAAGTCACCCATCAGGCACAAACCTTCCTACTACTTCTTTTGGTACTTTGTCCAGTCTTTTTGCAAATCAACAAGCACTTGTCTTTTAAAATGCACGTCATGACCATTTCTATTGGCCTCTGCTAAAACCGTAACAGTGCAGTTTTCAATTGCATGTCTTTGTAATGACTTCAGATTAATATCTGACAGGAAATACTTTAGTTTGGCTTTGAGGTGTGAACACAAGTGTAGTTCTGTAAACACTGGCTTGTGTGTGTCTCAGCTGGTGATGTGATCCTGGAGAGTCCGGTCCATCCCGTGGGGGAGGGGGACAACGTGACTCTGCGCTGTCGAGAGAAGACGCCTTCCTCTGGACTAAAAAAATTCAGTAAAGACGGCCTCCTCGTTTGGAGCAACATCACAGAAACTCTGACCATCCACGGTGTGTCCAAGTCCGATGAAGGACTCTACATGTGCAGCATCCCCGGAGTCAGCCAATCACCAGGCAGCTGGCTTTCCGTCACAGGTGAGATCATCGCATCATGAGAACACATCATGCATTAGAACATTTGATTGATTTAGAGTTTTTAACACTCTCCCTCCAGTGTCAGAGCCGGCAGCAGCTCCTGTGTTTCCCGCCCTCAGAGTTATTCGTCACGCAGTGGCGGGGTTTCCTTACCTGCTGTCCACGGTCATCCTGGCACTCGTATACAGAGACAAGAGAAGCGGTAAGAACCAACAACACTCGTCAGATATCATGGGGAAGCCACTTGTCTTCTATCTGTCCTCATTCTTGCTTTTTATGTCCTCACATCGCAGCTGCTCAGGATGTTTCAGAGGACCGGTGCCATCGCGTCGTCATGGAGGTGGTATAGACGACGAAACAGATCTTAAACATTATACCTTTATGTTTGTCTGTAAGATTAAATTTCTTTGTTTTGTTTGTCATTTTGTGCACAAACACAAATAAAGTGTTTTATATTTGTTTAACATGAGGAATACAAAGTTTATTTTTATTACAGGTTATCAAATTGTGATTAACACTAAATGGTAAATGGACTTCTGACTATATTTCCCAGCAGTACTTGAATGCACCATTACCCTCTCCCCCGTAGAGCTGTCCGTGGTGCTGAAACCCGGAAACCCCTGAACGCCTTTCCTTCTCTTTTCCCTCCTTCAGATTAAAAGTTGATCGTCTCGTGCCGTCACATTTTATCACGTGAGCAAATGATTAATTCTGATTTTATTATTCGCCGAAAATTGGCACGAGAGCAGAGCCGAACGTCTCGTGCCCCGGGGGCGTAGTAAGGCGGGAGGGGGCGGGGCGGTAACGTCAAAGGAAACGTGACGCTGCCTCCGTGTCAAAGATCGTCTCTGTTGTTGGACAGATGAAGATGCTGTGTTGAACAACAGAGAAAACGTACTTTAGGTTGAGATTATGAAACTGTTTCAGCATCACGATCTCTGGATGTGTTTGTCTCGGGTCACATGAATCTTGGCATTGCACAGATATCTCATTATTATACACATATTAACTGAACTTACTGTAGGGAGAAAAGAGAGCCTTAAGAGTATCGCATCTTACCATTAGACGATCTCTCGTCTGCTCTCTCTCTCTCTCTCTCTCTCTCTCTCTCTCTCTCTCTCTCTCTCTCTCTCTCTCTCTCTCTGCCTGAAAATAGATCCAGCTGGGTTTGGTCTGGCAATCATCGCCTTCCGATCCCACCACCAGTTTCACCAAAACACCAAAATAAACGGACAGTACCGACGTCTGGTGACCGCTTACCGGAGGATTTACCGCAATTTTTTTGTGGGTCTGGCTCGGTCTTATTTACCTACAGCAGCCTACTTTATTAATATTATTATTAATATAATTTTTAAAAACATAAATATAGTGTATAGTTCATTTCCCTCATCCCAACCGAAGTGATGTCCGTCGCGGGGTTGAAGAAACAGTTCCATAAAGCCACCCAGGTAAGAGGAAACCGACACGTCCTTTTGATCTTTCTGCTCTGGATTGTGTCAGGACACCGTTATGTTGTTGATAGTGGAACAAACGAGACGTGAACATAACTGAATGAATGTGAAGGAGACCGCTAACCACCTAAAAGCTCAGTGGGAAGCAACACAATCGTGAATTGGTTTGAAAATCGCACGAAATTCAAGCTTTTTGTCCCTTTTAATGACCCGAATTCGAATGTTCGTGCATTCGAATTCGAATGTTCGTGCATTCGAATGAACGAACATTCGAATCCCAGAAGCTAGTCGATTTTTACAGCCGTTGGTTCTTTAAAAAGTGAATTTCTCGGTGTTAAAAACCGTTTTTAAAACAATAACAACACCGTCTGTGTTCAGGATATTCTCCTCCTGATATGAACGCGATGTGTGGATGTAGCACGGTCTCTCTCTCTCTCTCTCGCTCTCTCTCTGTCTCTCTCTCTCTCTCTCTCTCTCTCTCTGTCACACACACACGTAGGGGATGTGATATTACGTAATGAAAATGAAGGTGTGTGTAGTGCCAGAGTGTCCGCGAACCTGATTGGCTGTTGCCACACGCAACAGGGAATTCCCTCCATCTTTACATCCGTCAACTTCCCTCCCATCATCCATCCCTCCGTCTCTCTTTTCATCCATCCATCATCTTCATCCCTCCATCATCCTCTACACCCACCTGTCTGTTACCCTGATCTTTAAACGTATTCCACACCTCCATCATCCCTTTTTCTTCTTTGACACTCACATTCCTCCATCCTTCTTTTCATCCATCCATCTTCCTCTGTCGTTCTTTTTTAACCTCTTTTATTTACCTCCCTTTCCGTCTCCCATCCTTCCATCAGTCCTCGTTTGTCATCCCTCATTTTTCCATCCTCTCCATCATTCTTAAAAGCTTATCCTCCATCTTTTTTCTTAATAACATCCCTCCTTACATCTTTCTTCTTTGTCTTTTTTCACATCATTATTTCACCTGATTTTCATTTTCTGTTCATTGAAACATCTCTCCATCTTTTCGTCCCCTCGTCTCACTTAATCACCTGTGTTAATAAACCTCCACACCTCCTCATCAATCTGATGAAATGTGACGTGTTCACCTTTCAAATATCAGAGAGCCGCTTTCTATTAGCAACACAAACAACAAAGAGACAGAAGAAGAAGAAGAATACTGTAAATACGTCCAATTGTGTCTATGCAACAACTGTCCTCGGAGTGTCTGTTTCTTTGTCCGCCATCTTAGTAATGTTGTAAACCGATGACACTGTGACTTCCTTTAACGACATGTCCCGCCCCCCGAGAGTCCACCCCCCCCCTCCCCTCGTCTGAAAGGGAAGATCCCCCCCGCTGTGAGGGACGTGTGAAAAGGGCTGAACATGCAGCAACCAATCGGATGCTTGAACCCATTTCTCCTCGTCTTCTTTCGTTCAGTTTGTTGTGGCAGCACGCGAGCAGCTGTTACTCAGCAGTAAACACGAGTCGCATACAATTCAAACGTAGTTTTTCTGTGGATCAACGTGAAAACAAAACGAGAAACTCCACGTCTGAAGGGTCCGTATCAGAAAGTGTACAGCTAAAAAAAAGTGCTGATCCTGCATTTTTAACCTCCTGTCAATGTTAGCTTAGCAAAGTTAGCATGTGTGGACTCTGTTCAAAAGGGGAATTTGTAATAATATGTTCTTGTGAAAAGTCCTGATGAGTAATGTTAGATGTTCTGAACCTTCCCGAGAAGAAGAAGTATATGTTTTAATATTTATCTGAACGTGATCAAAAGTCACTAATAAGACAAAAATAAGAACATAGAAAAAGTCTCATGTTGGGCCCCTGACTCCCCCCTCAGACCAAAGATCATCTGATGGTTCCAGATGTTCCTGTGAGGTGTGTTAGGGGTGATTTTAACCCTGAGGTGTTGTCAGTTCTAGATTTAAACTGGTTGTAGCGTTTGTAACTCTGATGATTGGTTGGTTTTAGGGTCAAAGATCGTGAAACAGAAATCCTGAGAGCAGGACTTTAAAGAGTCTGTGAACAGGACTCGTTTTAGTCTGAGGGAGCGATGCCAATAGAGAGAGAGGAGATGATGGGTATCGATCCCTGAGTGGGGGGGGGGAGTGGGTCACTGCAGCACTAACTGAACAGGAAGTAGAATTAAAGTCCGGAGGCGGATCGTCAACAGGAAGTGTTACCTGATGAAAGAACTTAAATATTATCTCTGACCGACCTGATCTGAGTCTTAAGACCCAGACACACCGAGGAGATCGTCGGCCGTCAGTCCTAGTTAGACCGTCGCTTCCCATCGGCCCCCGCTCATCTCTGTCGGCCTGTTTTTGTCCGATTCGACATGTTGAGTCGGCGTTGGCGGTCGGTGAGAGGGATCTCTCTGATTGGCTGTTGGGAGGTTTCATTTCTCTCCAGCTCTCCTCTCAGGTTCAGTAAAGCCTCTTGAGCATGTCTCTGTAGTCTCCATGCTTTCACCCATTAGTGCGGTTTCTCCTGATTTGTTGGCTCCGCCTCTTCTTTTCTTTTTCCACTCAAAGACCAAGAGCTGACAACACCAGCGCCATTTTTAACTTTTTATCAGACATTATTCTCCGTTAGTAGACGACCTGTAATACGAGTGGTGAGCGACAGCGGT